GCTGCAGCACCGGCTAACCGGCGCGTTTTAATTTCACGCAACGAATTAGCGCAGCGTCCTAGTTTGCGGTCGGGGATAATTTAACGATTTAATTTTTTCTAATCTCTTGGAGAGTCTTCTACGCACCCAGCATGGTGCGCAACCCAGCGAAATGAAAAATTTAGGAAATATGAAAAAGTTGCCGGAGCATGTCCTTCGAGTTAATTAAATTTTGAATTTTAATTAAATAAGTTGAAATTATCGAGAACAAAAGTGTTCGCACCGATGATTCCCAGAGTTCACACATTCTCGAAATTTTAATTTCGTCAAAATACGCATTTTGACTTGTGACATTCGCATGAAAGTTTGAGTGAAACAATCGAAGCAAAACGACTGATAACAGACGACCAGCAGGCTGCAGCAGTTGAAAAATACGCCCGGGCTTTTTCTCATTGTTTGGACGTAATTTCCGCTCGGCGATGAAGGTTTTCAACATTCATGTTTGCATTTTTACAAAAGGCTCACAATGGAGAAAGAGCAAACACCGTGACGGCATATGGTCATCATCCTGCGAGAGCGGCGGTCATTCTGAAGAGGAGACACAAGGTGGAATTATTAATGCTCCACCTCGATCATGTGCTCTATACATACAGAAAAAGCACAGCTGGAGAACGTAGATTTTCCGCACTAGATAATCAAATATTGAGCGCAATTAAATTAGCTTTCCAGATTGGTAGTACTCATTGCATAATATGCGAAATATCATATTGTATGTTCAGCATAAATTTATTCGGTAATATATTTATACATAGTTGAAGCACGAAGAGGCAGCTTCTTTCTGCCGGTGATAGTCGAGATGGGATCGCTGGAAGGGTCGCAGCAAACAGGAAATAGTTGTAAAAATGTGATGGATAGTCTTGCACATCGTGCACACTGCGACGCATGGCATGGAGAGTTGGACGTGGGAGTCATTTGTCAGGCACTTTTCGTCTTTGGTAGAAAGGCGAGTAGGAAAGCGAATAAATCCGAAACATCTCCCCGGCGTACGTGCCTCGCCTGGATTTTCTCTCCATCCAGCACAGAGACCTTCCGCGTCTCGGGCGTCTGCTATCTCCTCATGGCATCTTTGACCTCACTCCGAAAATCGGCAAATCTGGAAAATAAGAAATGATTGTGCATACGCGAGCAGACACTCACTGGCTTTGCCCCTGGATGGAAGGAAGGCAGGCCGGCTGGCTCTTGCACTTTGCGATTTTTAGCTCTGACACGAAATCCGATAGGATGGAGCGAAGCGAGCAGAAATGATATAGAGTTTTGGGCATGTTTATACAGTGGCAAAAGACGTGGGGTCAGGCTCATGTGGGTCCGCAGGCTTTGCGAGGAAGTTTGCAGACGACTGACCGTTTGCGAACCTTCAGCCGGGCGGCTGGCGAGAGGGTCTGTCTATGTATAATTAACGGAGTAATCCGGGACAGACGTGCACGCGCTGTGCTCCCCGTACGGTGCGCGCTGTGCTTGTTTCATCCAATACACTTTTGGGCAGCATACGTGCGATGCCATATACACGCACTCTCGGTAAATATGACTGTTTATTTAGTAATTCCTGCACATTACGAAGCTCGCGCGCATTGCATTTCGCTCGTGTGCGTATTGACACAATCAGTGAACCCCCCATTTTCGCCCGGCGGCCTTCGGCCTCTAGTGTTGCCACACTCTGACGTGATGTTTGAATCAATTTGATAAATCAACACAACGCGAGTTAATAATACCACTCCTCCAATCTCTCTCCTCACATCATCTGTAATCAAAATCTCATAAACAGTTTCTTCGCGCTGGTGCAGTGCTAATTTCTTGGATTCTCAGCAAAACCACGAAAGCCTAAACATCACTGTATTAATTTGGTTTGCATGAAATGCGCTGAATGAAGTCGGCCCGAACCCTCAACAACCATTCGTGATGATTTAATCAGGGGACGCTTCGCACTTGCGTTTGTGTATGTATGTGTGCGGATAGGTGGTGAAGGCGCCGGGCTGTGCGTGAAACAGCACTTTCCAAGTCCTCGTGCGGGTCATATACGTATTATTATCTTTCTGGCGCGTCCACTCGTTTTGCACAGTAGTACTACCCCACTGACATTTTCACCGGGTGGCAAAAGGCCGCGGCCATGCATAAAATTAAAATGCCAGCTGAACATGTTTCCATATTTCGCGCGCGCAGAGGGGACGGCCAAAGGCCGACTGCGAAATTCTCTCTCTGGAGGCGCGCGGGGTTTAAAAGGTCAAAATATGAGCATAACAATGACGAGTCATTAAATTGCGAGACGCACTTTACCCTGACGCGCTGCTGGAATGCGCCGGGAATTCCGATGTGAAGTTTTAAGATGGCGCGGCGATTTGAATTAATCAACGTCCGGTGCAATCGCATTAAAATTGCATGTCGCTTCGCGCGCGCGCGCGATGAGAAAACACGCGCTTGATGGCTTGGAAGGAAATAAATATTTAACGGCTGAAAATGTGGGCTAGTTTTAATCTGCTAAATGGAGGGACGTGGAAGCGCTAGGTGGCGGTGGTTGGCGTGTTTTCCTACGCGCACGGTGATACCTCGTAATGTAATGAAACTTTTACAGACGAAAGTTTTAACTATTTAACAATTTTCTTGCGCGATGGAAGAAATGGAAACTTTGGGGTTAGATTCGATGGTTTTACAGTGAGAAATCATCACTTCTATTTTGGGGTTTTGTGTGGGTCCTTATTAAAATTCCACTCGCAATTATTTCCGAACACGACGAGATACAAATGGTTGGCGAACGGAATTTCCCCCTTGAGGAAACCTATTTTGCGGATTTACAATCTTTCAACTCCCGGGCCGTGGGTCTCCCGACAAGCAAGTTGATTGTATTTTCGAACATAGTATTCCTACGTGTTTGTTCCACTAGGCGCTAGTTTTCGAATTGGTGTTCACACGCGTCGCTCCGACATAACGCGCGGGCCTCGGCGCTGCTAGTGAGCGCACGGGGAAAATTTAATAGCACGTGAATTTATTGCATGTTCAACCTGGCCCATATATATGGCGTCGTTCGAGGGGTCGTAACATTATATTAAAGTGTTGAACGCATGAGGATTATAGGCTTGCGCGCCATGGCGTGGCAAAAGCGCACGAACCTTCGACATTTATTCGATAGATATCTTTTTAACGGGCACGACCGACTCTCGTGGGCGAGGCGAGGCAGTGGACATTGACAATATTTTCGCTTTAATTCTCGATCTCGCCACTGTTTCACGTCTCGCCATTAGTTGCAATCGTAATCAGCGCTCGCGCCAGTGCGCGCAGTGATAAGGAAACGGGGTTGGCGTGCAACTTCCGGCTTCGACCATCAGGTCGGTCACGATATCGGATATGACGTACTTTCTTCGACGTCGGCCCCCGCAACTCGCTTGGCTAACATCGTTTCAACGGGTTCTAATGAGTCGCTCGGTTTCGGTATCGAATCAAAGAGGAAAGGGCATTGGTGGAGCGTAATTGACCGCCATCGGAAGTCGGAAGACGCGCGTCGACAGACCAGACGTCTAATTCACGTAGTGATCAAACATCTCTGCGCGCTTGCAAGCAGCCGAATTCTATATTTAATATAAGTTTCTCTTCGTCGTTCCAACTCGCATCTTGTTAGAAGAGTAAACATTGCATTTCGTGCTTGCTTGGGTTATGATGCATCAGCTGTTACCATTATACAAAGTTTGGGAAGAGGGTCTCTTTTCATCTGTGCAACACACGCTCTCAATCTGCGCGTTTAGCTGATACTTGATGCTGCGGATGTCTAATCTATGGACGAGTGGTGTAGAATGCCGTTGAAAGTTACTCGGGGGGTTTATCTAACACAGCGTGCGGGCGGGGCCGACAAACTCTCTGCGTATACAAGTTTGTTAATTTGGTCGTTATAGACTGGCCCCGGTCGGCCAGCGTGGACATCTTCAGGGGCCAACTCGGAAGTCAAAGTCGGCAGCATATTGATAATGGGGGTCAAATCTGAAGTGGGTTGTAAACTTGCTTACTTTATTAAATTATTGGCCGAGGTAATTCCCAAAATGCGCATTTTGTCATTAAGTCAAATTGCTTTGGGCATTGGGTATTTTTCTTTAGTCATTTTACAATTTTGCATAGGTAAAATTCGAGATGAAGGCTCTGCTTGCTTGCCTGGGACATTAAAAATCATCTGAGCATTATGGCGCATCAAGGCTGGGCAAAGAGTTGGGACCGGGACAGCGCTCGGGGACTGCACGGTCCACTCGGCCGGAAAATTAGACCGCCGAGTAGTAGTCTGCTAACCAGACGAAGATTTCTCATTCCGCGGTCGCTTGCGTGTGTTTTCCCTTCGACAAAAGGAAACTCTTTTGGTCACATTATAGCTACACCTTTGGAATACTGTCAAAATACATTGTTGATATTTAATAAGTTGTTGTTTACAATAACCGGGCTTCCGTGTCATTTCGTGTACACCGGAAACGCGAGGGTTTTCTATTACGCTCTCCGCTCAACTGCAACTCGGAACTCAACCGAGCGATGAAGTTGATCTTTCAAGATAGCATTGACTTTCCATCCCTCCTCGGCTGGCACCTTTGTGCAGATCCTTGGATTACGTAACTGACGTGTTGTGTTGGCCCTTTCGTTCGTTCGTTCGCTTTTTTCTCTGCTTATCGCCGCGCGCTGCGAACGCACACTATACGTGTTTATACGGATATATTTAGCAAACCGTCGTCATCGCGTTCGACACGCTGGGAATGCTCGGTATCGACATCCCCCATGTCATGTCGCAGCAGGCGGGGACGCCAAAGCCTTCGCTGTCAATTTTAACGCACCGGGAACGACATTTTTCCGCTTTGCTACGTTTTCGTCGCGAATTTATATTAAACCTGAAAAGCTTTAAAACGTCCTCTAATATGAAATCAGTTGTCACCGGATGGAAATATCACCTAGGAGGCGTTGGAATTGATTATTTATTGTCGGTTTTCTGTTTTGGGTTCTAGGGTCGGTGTAACAGGGAAAAGCCACCATGCAAGTACTTCCACCCGCCGCAACATCTCAAGGATCAGCTGCTCATCAATGGGCGGAATCACTTGGCGCTGAAGAATGCGCTCATACAGCAGATGGGTTTGACGCCCGGTCAGGCCATCGTCCCTGGACAAGTGCCCACAGTCGTACGTATATTTCCTGTATATTAGTGTGCTACAAACAATAAATAGCATGAGATTGTTTTGAGTAGCTTTTCGATGCTCATTTAACCTGAGGCGTAGAAAAGTATTTTTACTAATTATGTGTGTTTTTTTATGTTTTATTTTTGTCACTTGGGTTGGGTTGAATTGTTTTACTTAATCTGTTGGCGAGAGAAGGAGGCGGACATGAACCTTTTCGCGCGCCATCACGCATCCAACGCAATGACGCTAGACGATCGTTTTGCACTGATGGTAACAGTTTTGGGTTTTTGCTTTTTCGTTTGCCTGCCGTAGTTTTGCCACGCATACTCTTTAGTATTTAGACTAGTGTTTGTGTTGCGGGGGGTGTGTGTGATATGAATTCTACGCTAACGATTTTGTTTGGATTTTTTCGTTTTTGCAGGCAGCGAATCCTTATCTCACCGGCATGCCGCAGGTGGGCAACACATACAGCCCGTACTACGCCCCAGGTCCCATTATGCCCGCGATTATGGGCCCCGACCCCACCGGCGTCGCGTCGCCCCTCAGCGTCGTCTCGCAGACGGTCGTGCAACAGAAGATGCCTCGCTCCGATAGATTAGAGGTAAGCGCCGATCTCGCCCCGCACTATCATCATAACCTAGCGCACAATTTTGCGACAGCGTTCTACTACGAACCGCTGCATCATGTGTTTAATAATAATATTGCGACGTTCTATTGTTGAATTGAACTTTTCTTATTACCTAAAAATTTTTGCAAATATATTGACGATGGAATCAAACTCCCTACGATGACGGATGACGCTAGCAAATGCCATTACTATACTGGGGGGAAACGAATTCATAAAAAACTAAACAGCGGTTTAATTACTTTATTTGTTTATTTATTTTCTTTACCTTGATTTACTTTACTTTACTTTATATTGTCTATTGTTTTTTTTTCTGTCTCTTTAATTAACTCTGTTTATTTTGATTAATTTATTATTTTGTGCTTAGGTTTTGTTTACTTTTATTATTGGATTGGTTGGGCACCTTTGGAGGTAATTACATGCTACCCCAAAAATGTCTTGTTTACCCTTTTGTTTTCTTCAGTTTTTTTTGTTTCGTTTTTTACTTGTGGGTTATTGTTTTGACTCAACCGAGTTATCGATTAAACAACGCCGCGGTTCATGAATATAACACACTAATCACATATATACACACAAAGTGTTGCAAAACTTTAAAGGCCGCTATGATGCAGCTCTTTATCTATCACTTTTACATATATGCTCTTTTATTAGACTTTATATAATCTATCGTAGAATTTCTCTCTTCCGTTCGACCTCTATGTAAATATTGTTCACACACTTTTATAGTCTCATTGTGCTGTACATACAATTTTTCTTTTGCTGATTTTACACCGCCCTTTTATTATAGTCTTATAAATATTAAACGAAGTGTTTTTTCAAAATTTAAGTTTGAATAATAAAAAAACGTTATAATGACAAGACATTGCATTATTTGAATATTTATATTGTGTCTCACACAAAAATTGTATGTTTGCACAAACACATTTACCCTAATTCACACGCAGAAAAAATGCAATACCAGAACAAAATAGACACATAGATTATTGATAAACACATGACTTAATTAATATATCTATATATATATATATAAATAATTCCCTCCCTGTAGTGTTTATTGTAAATTGGAGGCATACGCATCTTCACCTTCTCTCACCCCCGCTGTCTTTGAATTAAATTAGTAGTACCCCGGCTGCTCACACTTTGGACACACACACACACGTGTATGTGGGTTTTTGTATATCGTCTTGTATATTTACGTGATGGTAGATTTGAGTCCCTTCACTCGCTCACACGAACACCATAGTTGGAGATGCGCATGTCGGTCCTAAGTACAATGAGCGCGAGTTGCGCGTGCTGCTCTTGCGTTAGTGCGCATGCGCGCGCACCTCTGCGTTACATTGCAGCGGTGGCTTGAAGTGGTTGAAGTGGTTGGCGCTGAAGCCGGAGTGTCTGCTGTAGGTGTGCCGCGAGTTTCAACGCGGGGCGTGCAAGCGTGCCGAGTCTGAGTGCCGCTTTGCGCATCCCGCCGACTCTGTGACGGCCAACGAGGACGGCACTGTCACTGTCTGCATGGATGCAGTCAAGGGCCGCTGCAACCGCGACCCCTGCCGCTATTTCCACCCCCCTCTGCACCTCCAAGCCCAAATCAAGGCCGCACAGTCGCGGGCTAGCGCGGTATGCTACGCATTCTTAGTGCGCACGCTCGCTAATTGTTTTTAATCTTCTTCTGTGTTTTTTGTTTTCAATCTTACTTTCCTAGTTTACCGTATTAGTTAGCTCTAACACTCTGTAGCGTTTAGCGACCACCTTTAGTTGTCTCTCACACTCTTTTAAAGTCACTAACAACGCACGCGTCCAGCGCCATCTGGTGGCCGGGTAGGCGTGAAGCGACTGCACAGATGGCGCCACGCGCACTCTTTTTGCACCCACTTTGTGTTGTCTCTAACGTGTTCTAACCAACCAGCTAATATGCTCTTAACGTTTGTGTTCTTTTGTTTTGTTTTACATTGGAGAACTATTCGAGCATCGTGTGCACTCTTTGCCCCTTTCACGCATCGAACGTCTAAACAATGACTCTTCACTCCCTCTGTTGTGGATGCGACTTGACTTGACAGACAAGCAGCTAAAAGCTTAAAAGCAGGCGAAAAAAAAACCGCGGGGAGGCAGAGAGTGTATTGATGCTGGATAGTTTTGTTTTCCTCTCTGTAGTGTTTTGTTTCTTGTAGTACTCCGTTGGCCATTTTTGTGGGTGGTAGCACTATGTTACTAACCAACCTGTAACCTCAAAATAGACTTTTGTTATTCATTTGTTTCGTACTCTGTCTCGTAGATAACTTAGTGTACAGTAGATATTTTTGAGATGTGCAGATGTTTAACAGTTTGCACCATTACTAAAGTAATTGTAGACTTTTTGATGAGAAAAAAATGTTTATTATTTAATTTTTAACTTTTTCATCTTGATTTTTATTTGTACTTCTGTTTACTTACTTTTCTCTCTTAGTTCTCTAAATACTCTGCGTAGTGATTTCTCGTTTTATGCAATTCCTGATGCAATGAAATGTGTGGCTGATGTGACTTATTTAACTTTTTGCGCTAAGGTGGTGGGTCACTTGCGTTTTTTGTGTAGACCAGTAAACCGAATACCTGCCGAGATAGCGCCCCTAGTAAATTTCTCTTAGTACTTGTTTTTTCAAAATGGCGGCTGCACTCTAGCAAACTCTAGTAACTTCTCTTCACGTTTCTCCTATTTTTTTTCTTTATTTAGTTCGGCGTCTATCATGCGATCTGTTTTTGTTTCAAAAATCTTTCTTCTTTTCCTGTGTTTGTATCTGCGATATAATTACATGGTGCGCAGTGCGCTTAAGTGCCTAAATTTGTTGAGAACCGAAATAACAACAAAACAAAAAAACAACAAATCCAGCATGCGATGAGCTGTGTGCGTTTTACCCCAGCGCCCTCTGTGCCCCTGCCAACAAGCCCAATGCCTATTTATTAGCACTTTAGTTTGATCTGTTTTTGATTTGCTCCTTGTTTTCTTGTTATATAACGCTGGAAAGCCTTCGAAACGACGTCGATTTTAATTGTACATACGTGTTGAACAAGACGACAGTTTTACACTCAGTATACAATCAGATCGTTTGTGTTGATCGTCAATTATTTTCATTGCAAATTGGCTGCTCTAAAATTACTCCCGTATATTTGCTCACCTCTGTATTGTACTCTAGAAAATTCCTAGAAATTAGCTACCAAAATTTAAATTAATCTTTAAGGTATTATAATAATAAAATGATCAAACCGACACATTATACACGCAGGAACAAATTACACACTCGTATTTTTCTACACACAAAAAGGGCTTGTTTGCAGGATGGATTCGATAAGCGAAAGTAAAGGGAAAACGAAAACGAAAAACATCTGATTCATTGCGTCACGAAACTATTGCATAACGTTATTTAACATTATTTAAGTCCTTCAAATGTGGTTTTAACAGGGTGTTTTCTATATTAATGTGCATTTGCGTTATTATTTCTTACAATGTTCCGTTTACAAAATAACCTGTGTTTTAACAAATGTTTTATCGACGTGTAGTCATACTACAAATCAATATTTGTCTTCTAGAGTTTAATTTCGATGAAAATATTCGAATGAGCTGTAATTGAAGTTCTTGTTTTCTTCTCATTTAACATTTTATATTTGCAAAGTCGCAACGCGATCGATGTGTGCTTTCGATGTGTGTGTTTTTCTGCTACCCATGTGAAAGTGTTGCATGCGATGATTATTAATGATAATATTTGTTTGATATGTGTACTATTTTTATCAATTGCTGTATATTTATTGCGAATATTCACGTGCAACGTTTTGCTTCAATCTGTGGGACTTGTATGATGCGATTGCAGAGCGAAACGTTGTACCTGCTCTTCAATGTTTGTCAAGCATTGAAGAGCGACATTTTTTGTGGGCACAAGTTGGACACTCTGGTGTCATTTCTGCCGTCATGTACAATGGTCGATTATTAATTTAGTGCTGGTTTTTTGTTTTATTATTATCCCGGATGCGCTTGTGGTCTTGCTGTGAAAACAATACCAAAAATTGTCTCGAAACCAAATCAAAAAAATCAAAAACCAAAAACTATCTCTGCTCTGCGCGCGCTGTGCTACTACACTAATAGCCCGCTGCGGTATCGCCCTTACTGGCGCCACAAACTGCTGCCGCCCTCGAGATAGGCAAGAAGAGGCCGCGAGAGCCTAGCACCGCCGACACAGATCTATTACTGGTACCGCCTTGCTTTTGCATGTCACATATTTTCAAAGTTTTTCAGTTGAAATTTTATGTTTTTTGATGTTTTTTCGTTGATTAATGAATCTGCAAGCGATGCACAACTTGCTACAAATCTTCGAACAGCAAGTTTTGCATTGTTGCTTTTTTATTTTTATTTGATAACACAATTTAACACGTCCAAGTAAAAATGAAACGATGATTAGAAGAGCTGACGAGGTAGTGGTTTTGCGGCAGTCGCACTCTACCGGAAAATACAAACACACACAAATATTTAATTTCTTACTCTTATGCAGAACGTTGCTTCTCCACATCTGAAACCACTAAGGAAGTGGTACGGCTTTATAATTTTAATTTTAATTTTGATTAGATTATTGCTATTGTGACCGTGCTTCTTGCTAAATACATATCGTAAGCGACGTTCTTCATCATTTTTTGACTCAATCACTCGCGCACACATCTTTGTTTTGTTCTCACACTTGAATCCTGCTTTCTTAGCACCACACACTTGTTGACGACCGAACCGAACACAACCGGGGCCTAATGCATATATTGTTTTCTCGTAGAAGAAGAAAGTGCCGACGCAAACCTGCTACCTGAGACGAGTTGTTAGCATGTTGTGAGAGAGGGCTGAAATACGCTTTGAAAATTTGATCATTTGCGTTTTCTTATTTTTTTACTGTTTACAAAAGCGTTTTTCCGTTTCGTTCGATTGAGCTTTTTATCGCTACCAAAAAATATTTATATCCACAAGGAAGACTTGTAAGGTTGCTTTGACGATCAGCCAGCTTCTGCTTTTACGATTATTATTTTCTTGCGTAACACTATGTATAATCATAAATGTGTTTGCATGTCGAATCTCTACATCTGTACATGCCGCAAAATTGATTTCAGCAAAGCAAATTGCAAGCGATATTGGCTTTCGTAATTTTATTATGAATTTAAAAACCGATTTTGTTTTTTTATTATTTTTTGTGGTTTGGGAGAAAATTGTCGCTTTTGTCTCGGCAGTACGTACACTTGTCTGCTGTGTTATTCGGAAAGCGGTACAAAACAGACAAAAGTTATGGTTTTTAATTAACTCGCAACATTCTAGCAACTACAATTACAGCGATCCTAATAAATATCAGTAAATGAAAAACATTTATTCATGGAATTATGATTTTTATTTTCTCTCTCTCTGTTGTTTGATTATGATTTTTTGGGGCCGCTAAAATTGGCGAGCTAACAAAACGTTGTAACTTGTAATGCTCGTTAATTTTAACAATTTGTTTGTTTTGTTTGGTTGTACTAAACTTTTCGTTTGATAACTCGTTTAAGTTCAAGTAAATTTAATGAGATTAGGAAGAAATACATTCCTTGTTAACTGCTGAGATGTTTCTCTCTCTGCTTTTATATCAATTACACTTTATGTTCGTACTTTTTGGTTTACTTTTTTTTTGTTCCGTTTATGTTGTTGACTGGCCAGTTTTGTATGCTGGAAAAGTGGCGCACACGCAGGACACTAAAACCCATCTGTGTTTTCATTTTTCAGATGGACGTCAAATCTGTTGGATCTTTTTATTATGATAATTTTGTAAGTATTGTGTGATGAGTTGAGACGCAGCGAGAGAGGAAGAAGAGGTCGCTGATGCTGCAATGGTGGAGGCGCCCACATGTGTACTGATGTGTTGCTTGATGTTTGCAGGCCTTCCCCGGCATGATGCCGTACAAGCGGCCGGCGGCAGACAAGTCCGGCGTGCCCGTGTACCAGCCGAACGCCACCACGTACCAGCAACTGATGCAGCTGCAACAGCCATTCGTGCCCGTCTCATGTGAGTACACAGCCAACCAGACACACGCTCCGCCCGCTAGTTCCGCCTCCTCATCCCCGCCCGCCGCAGTTGCGACCAGCGCTGCCGATTCACAGGTGGCGCTAATGGTCGCCGCCACGCAGCAGCCGCCCAAGTGCGACACTGAAGTGCACGCGAGCGGCACGCACACTGTGGCCGCCACCGCCACCGTGCCCAGCTTGGTGGCACCCGATCCGGCCGCTATCGCGAAAGAAGTGGCGCAGCAGAACTACGCCAAGGCCGTGAAGCTCGCCCAGTCGGGTACGGCCGCCGCTGCCGCCGCCGCAGCCGCGAATATCGGCGCGCTTAATCCGCTCAGCTACACGGGCGTCGCGCTTAACAAGCAAGCGGTGCTGAACATGAACATGCAGGGCGCCGCCGCCGCTGCCGCCGCGGGCATGCATCGCTTTCAAATGCCGCTAACAGCTACCGCCGCTGGCAATTCCGCTTTGGGCCTCGGCCTCCAGCACCCGTACGCCGCGGCGATGTCGCAGGCCAGCTTGATGAACTTTGCCGCGGCGGGTCGCCCGCCGACCGCGCTCATGAACCCCTACGCGGCGGCGGCATACATGCGGCCCGCCTACCCCGCCACAGCCGTCACCAGCGCTAACCAGTTTCTGGCGACGGGTCTGCTGGGCCCCGCGCAATACGCCACCATGTCCATGGACTCGGCCACATACACGAATGCCGCTGCCGCGCAAAACAGCATAGCCACCGCCGCCGCCGCGCAAAATAACAACAACAACGTGGTGATGCCGCCGTATAAAAAACTAAAGACGACATAAATACCGCGATCCGAATTCTACAAAACATATTTGTATATTTTGTTCGTTGACTTTTACTATATTAACTTGTTTGTTGCAATATTCGTTAGTCTACGTTTAGTTTACCGTGTTTGTGAAATTTTAATTTGTTGAGAAATCAGTTTTCTAGCTCCTATTAAGCATAGGTAGGTTCGTAATCTAGTCAAAATTTATTAACGAAGCGATGTTTTGAAGTTTTACGACTAACAATGCCGATTTGCATGCATCACGCAGCGCGTCAATGGCGGATCGGTACCGCGATATGATGCCCCCCGGCGGGGTGGCCTACTAAAAACTAAAAAAAAAAATGAAAACAAAGATGCGAGTGCCTCGACTCTGTGATATCTCAATATTGCACCACTGCGCTAGATATATCTGCTATCTATGTCTGCACCTAAACAATGCTGCAGTCCTGTTTATCCTCACCCCCCACTCCCCCTTTATCTCTCTGTCAAAACGAAAAACAACACTAGTTAAGGGCTTATAACACACACACCCACACTAATTCGACATTACGTGAATGTCCTTCGATGCTATTATACCATATAACTATCTATAAACTTAGCCTAAGTAACGTGGGTGAGACACTAGTGCTGGTTAGAAATGTGTTTTGTTAGTGTATTTTTGGAATTGAAGTTTAAATTTTTGACTTTGCTGCATGGTGGCTTGGTCCAATACACGATTTAATGTGTGTGTAATCCGTCTCTTTGCGTCTCAAAACAAAGAGAGCGAATAAAGCCTTACAAACAACATCAGCAACAACAACAACAAAACAATCGAGTTGATCGCATGGTAGTGCCGTTGCGTCTATTTATCTCTTAAATTATGTAATGTTGTTTATGTATTTGTTAGTTTCTCTTTTCTTTTCTTTTTTTGGTTGAACGCTGTGCGGTACGAGGACTAATTTTTTCAAGTGCCATTCGTTTGTTATCTGTGTGTTTGTGTCTCGTATTAATTACGGCAGCGAAGGAAATGAAAAGCAAAAGAAACAACTAACATTTGTTGAAAACTTGATAAGATAGCAAATTGTAGATGTGAACTGACCCAAAAAGAGGTTCGAAACTCGACTATCACGCGAGCGATTTGAAGAATAATCCCGATTCGAGACGCGATATGCAAACATGTCGACAATTCGCTTTTTAGTGCCTACAATTCTTGCTTTTTATATACATAATCAATAATGCTGTGTTACACGTTTAAAAACAGAGTCTTTGGTTTTGGGTAACTACCAAACTATAAGTACAAAATTTCAACTGCATGTCACAGTGTGTTTTATTTATACATCGGTCCGCTGTCGCTTCTATATTATTACTATACATGTTTTTTCGATGCATGCGTTTCTAAATTCTATATGATGTTACTATAAGCACACTACTTGGGTCAGTCTCAGCTCTTTTTGGGTTGGGAGTAGTTAATATTATTAAGTATTTTTGTTTGTGTCACTAGATGTAATTTTAGTTACTAGATCTATATGAAGATGAAGGAAAACTGAGCCAGATATACATATAGTATTGATTTCTTTGCGAAAGAGAAAGTAACTTTAGATATTTTATTATTAAATTTTAACGAGTGGCAATGTTTGTTCCTTACTTGTTTGTACAATGTTAGTCGTAGGTTTCTAGTATTTTGTGTGCGTAGCGCCACACGCTAATATCTAAATCGTTTAGGTTTGATAAGAATTTATGCTTGAAGCAGAACGTTTTACCGATGATAGAGTCGAATATTGACTGCTTAATTCGAAGTCTTCCTGAGTTCTTTTTGGCGATGATCTCGAAGCACAAATTTCAATAATAATAACTAATCGAAATCCGAGTTTTTCAATTCGTCAACGCAACAACCATGTGTCTTAAGCATTTCGTTTTACATTTGCGAACTAAGTTCTGTGTAAGTTTTGTAAATAACGAATTGAAAACGATTGCACCTATGAAATGAAACTAAACTAACTTAAAGACAACTATTACTGATTAAAACCTAACAAAGACGAAATGAGAAATAAGTAAAAACATATGTGATGCATGTATAGGAATTATCTATATTAACTATAACTATATATTATGAATATATATTATCCACTATATATTAATTAATCGATTTTTTGAGTAAGCAAAGACATTTCGTGTCTATATTATTGCATATAACGATCACACGTTCTCGCTGTAAGTCAGTAAATTCTAAGTACATTATGTGTCCTCGTCTGAGTTGCAAATTAGCTTTACGAGAGTTAGGTTAGCAACTGCCTGATATGGCGTCCGAAAATCGGGAATTGATCATCCGGAGACATAGTGCCTTTTTTTGAAATAACAATTAAAACTGTTCCATGCGAGCGTATTGGGCAGTTCTTAACCGCTAATCGTACCAATTTGTTTCCCGCAACAAAAACGATTCGAAATAAAACCGCACATCATGCAAATCTTTTACACAATATTAATTAAGGTGGTGTTTGGGTATATATGAAATAGTTTCCGCCATCGGCCACACGCCGGCATTTTGTGTCGCTGCCTAAAATCCATGTCGGACGCTAACTACTGAGTAGAAGTAAAGTAATGTAATTTCCTAAAACATTGTCATTGAGCTTTTGAAGGATGGAATTTGTTTATCGATCGCACACGACCACTCTTAATTGTAATAATAATTGCTTGAGAAACGTGCATGATAATTGTTTTATTAATCATTTTATGATTGTATTTAATTACGTATACGTATATAGGGTATATCTATATATGTATATCTTATAAATACCATATATATACATAGGTATCGAGTAATTTATTGCTTCTTTTTTCGAGATCGTAATCGTTGTCTTTTGTCTCTTCTCTCTATCTTGTTGAAAACTCTCTCGAAATTGCCCTTCTCACAATCACTCGCTCCTCCACACTGACTGAAATCATCATGCTGCCGTAACCGCCTCGACTTTCTGTCTCTTCCCTTCTTAACCCGATACACATGCCGACAAAACGTGGAGCGGAAGGCTTCGGATCGCTTTTTTTATATATTTATGTGGTAATTTTTGGATTTGGTCCTCTTTGGTCCTGTGAGCACAACATATATCCCTGCTTCCTTCTGTGTTTTCTCCTTCGATTTGTTGATTTTAGAGTAGTTGACAAGTGCTTTGAATTCGCTTTGTTGTTCGAACATGGTCTATACATGCACAGCGCGTGCGCGCATGCGCCGCTCGCATAAATCAACTAACAAACATGGCCGAGCGTGGACGCGCCGCCATCTTCATGCCGGTCGTTTGAGGAGCCAACGTCGTTTTCGACTTGCGCCTTTTTTCGACATGTGGTGCTTCCAGTAGTGGCGTAGTATTCACACACACCTCCCAATCCCCCTGGATTCCCATCAACGCCATTTTAATATTGTTTATGATTCATTGATTTAAAAACAAATTTTCCAGCTTTTCAGCCTAGTTTTTAATTTACTGTATTTTTATGATTTAATCAACAAGATGCTTTTATTTTTTAGATTGTTTTCCAGCCGTTAACAAAATACCACACACAAGCTTTACACACATGTTGGTAATATGTAGAACGCTTTTTGTTTTCCTCGCCCATCATCATAAGTATACACCTAAAATTACACACTCTTAGGATGCTACGTAACAATTTACCCTAACAACGCCGCCATTCACAAAACTCATTTACCAAACGTTGAATTTAGTTGAAAATTTTGCTTTTCAGATTAGTTGCCAATTACGTGCTTCTCGTAGACAAAACTGTAGTTTTTCAACAAGTGTGTCGTGTTTTCTCTTTATATTAAAGTGAATGGGTATGAGAACTGTGACGAGAATTTTTCATTTTTGATTCCAATTGGATTTTAATTTGATTGCTTTTTCTTTTTCATGCTTACGTTATGTTTCTCTTGATTCAAATGTCGTGTGTTTGCCATCCGACGACTTAAATTTGTGCTCTCATCGTGAAAACGACGCACCACCCATCAATCAATCAAAATCAACTCTTGACCGGAAACCTTGTGGTTTTTGGGTATGCCCACCGTCGCCCCTTGTTGCCAATTTTATGCTCATTACTTGCAATACACTTTAATTTGTCTTCCCATTCAATTACATTCTCTATACACGTGCTTAATGTGTCGACAATCATTTGTAACATGTGATAATCAACAACCCCGAATTGAATACGACACCATTTTGTTGATCAACCGACCCAAACACACAACACACACGCTCACGTTCTTGCATTATAATTTACTTTGTGGTGGTGTACGGTGGGTTTTTTTGACGTATTTATAATTGCTGTAACCGTTATCCGTAATATACATATTATATATAAATATCGCTGAAATTTGGCTGCGATGACTTTGGCTTGCTGCACTGCTGGTTTCTGCATGTCGCCGGCCCTAGACAATGGTGAGCCTGTGCCCCAAAACGCCCCTTTTGTGATCTACACTGATGAACATGGACAGGTATTCACTTTAATTTGATTCTACCTGTTTGCTGTACGGCCGCCGCCGCCGCCGCTAGCTGTAATTATCGCCGACTTGTCTCGCCGGCCGAGATTCGTCCTTAGAGATGCGCACACTCAAGTACAGCCAGCAAGTATAATTAAAGAAAAGTACGAACGAGGACAATGCACAATATTTCACTTGGAGCACGGCTTGCTCGTCTCGACCAACTTTCGACCTACTTTATTGCTTCCTGCATTTGGTGGAAATATTTTTGATTCTCCTAGATCGCCGCCGCCGCCTTGTGAATAGTAGCCGCCGCCTAATTGCATTTGAAAATTCTGTGTTCCGTCCATTCTTGATCGTAACGAATTGCGTGTGTCGCTGCCGCCGAATCAAATATTGTGCACTGTTTTTGATGCTTTTAATTACACACAATTTGCAACCATATTGTGACTGATTTTTTAATGCATTTATTAATCAGAACGAGTAACGTGCAACATTAAAACCAAATTAAATATGATGCCGAACGACTAACCAAATAATCACAATCTGTTTGCAGTTGATTTTTGTTAGTTTATTTAATTTTTATTTATTTTTACTTGAACTTGATTTTCTAGCTTTCTATAGATTTAGGAGCACCTCGAAAGAGTGCAATTTCATCTGTATCTTTCTTTTCATTAACTTCAATTTAATTTGAACAAAATTTATCCATCGCGATAGGGTCAGAGATGATTCCTCTTAACGTAGAAATTTGCTGCAAATCAACCTCTCTCTGACAGATGACTAAATTATTAATCGATTTCAAAATTGCGTAATATCTACCTTTCATTAATTCAAATGCGACGATGGTTTCAAACATTCTGCATGAAATGCGCTAAACATCTTTGTTTCTTCCAACAACACGAAGAAATTAACATCACGCTTTGTGGTTCTGGCCTTACTATGTAATCATTGATTGATGTTTTTGTTGATTAGCTCTACGCCTACGGGAAAGGCCAACCGAAGCTAATAAACGCTTCCTTTAGATACTTAATGTTACCAATCGCTTATCAAACATTATTTTTCATTTCGCTATACTACATCCTCCTCATCGATTATTATGTGTATAGTAACCGAAATTTGTTTTATTTTGTTGAGCTTTAGAGATGCGAAAATGCAGAATGCTTGGAATACGATCGACGTTTTCTTTATTATTTTTTGGCATGCAAAAGCGTTGAAATTTCTGTGGTTTTTGCGAATTGTCCTTTTAATATCTCTCGATTAATATCTAATATCTCTATTAGTGATCAATACTGAAGATTAGTGCTTTTTGTATGCCTCTAATTAAGAGTTTTTCATTAGTTTTTGTTGGTTGTTAAATATTTTTATGCGTGCCTGCCTTTTTTTATTTATGAAATACTTGCCGAAAACGATCTCCATTGCCTAATTTTAATTGTATTTGTTCTTGATCTCTAATCGAAAGCCAAAAATAATATGAATTTATAGCCGAAATGAAAAAGACTTCCGATTTTCCGAATACATGTGCTAGACATTACTGCTAGTTATTAACTATTTGCGTTGATTGCGCTGCCGACGATGGTACTTATTGTAAATGTTTTGTGTTTCAGTTACTGGACACCCTCCCGGTGTGCCAAGATTTTAATCGCGGTCTGTGTAATCGGCCGGCCTGCAAGTTTGTTCATCTTCAGGAGGGTGAGTCGCGCGCACTTTGAAAACTTCTTTTCTTTTGCAATTTGTGTTTTAAGTTTTCATGTTTATGGCGTTTTCTCCTGTAGGGGGGTTGGCTAATGAGTTGAATTTTGTTTGCAGGTGATGGGGTGGAAGTGGTGGACCAGCGAGTGGCCGTGTGTCGCGACGCTGCCAAGGGGCAGTGTTCGCGTCCCGTCTGTAAATACTACCACATCCCCGTCGCACTGCCGCCCGCCCCCGTCATGGCCGCCCTTGCCTCCTACTTGCAGCAGCCGCAGTAGCAAGTGGACCGCAGCTGCTGCACATCGTGTCGATCGCGCGGAGCCGCCAGCGGTCAATTTTTCGGTGATTCTACATGACACCATCGAGTTGGGCCGCGTTTTTCGGAAAAGGAATTCATTTTTGTCTTCGCCGAAGCGCTCCGCACGCTCGACGCGCACACGAAGATGCAACTGATGACGAAAAGCCTGCGAGAAATATAAATATATATTTAAAAGTAAAAAAACAAAAAAAGTAACGAAGAAAGTTATAAATTATATACTTATATAGGAACTTTTTTAATTAATAATCAATTAATTATTATGATATTCTATTATTAAATTAGGCATAATAACGACACGGTCATATAATGACGAAAAAAATGTTTGTGTTATATATTATACATAACTATATTATATATATACATAAATATATTATACATAATTGGTTCAGTTTCGACAAACTGGTCGAGAAGGGAACGCGATGATAGTTCCCGCCGTGAGCGGTGCAACATTAAAAACAAAACAAATTCGATTGAACACTTAGGATTTATTATATTAAATGATGAAACATGAAAAGTAGTTAGAAACAAGAAATTTACAATGAATGAGAATTTGATTTGCGTGAATGCGTGAGCGACGAGAGAGAGCACTATTCGAGAATCTGTCTAAGCCCTGATTAAGAGTCTGGAATGGTCTGTGAAGAAGTAAATTGTGACGAAGAAATGACGATAATTTTTGTATTCGACTTTGGGTATCGCCATTATTATATAGAAGCGCATAACGATACCGATGGAAGATGATGGCAGGATTAAATATCTACAGACAACTAACGAATAATTAAGTGAAACGGCCCTAACCGGGCTCGTACTGAGCCACCCCCGTATATTTAATGATATTTTTAAGGATATAAGCATAACTATAGACGTTTACACATAAAATTTAAAAACAAATCGTCCCAATAACAATACTAATATTGAAAATAATGAAAACTAATTTATTATACTTACCAATAACGAAGAATATGTCAGAAACAGTGGCACACGACGACAAACAGGTTTAGAAACCAGGTGAAATATCGAACAAAATATAGTAATGTATTGTAATACTGGTCGGCCGAAGCTGTAAAGGGAGATGTTGGTAAACTTTTATGTGATCATTTTGAATATTTACTATTATTTGCTGTGATTATTATTTGAGTGTGAATTTTGTTTCGAACTGCACTCGATTACAAATGATTTATTGTGTTAATTATTTACGATCGAATCGAAATTTTGTTAAATTTGAAAAAGAGAAAAGAAGAATCCGTTGAATCGTTAAAGGTCTGCAAATCGATTTTGTTTCCATATTGGTTGATGTATTGTTTTTATTGTATTAGCATCTTTGCAGACTTCTTTGTCTAGTCAAAACAAAACAAAAAGGACTATTGTCAAAATTGACATTTTTCATAACTGGAACCACAACGGATAAACTAAGAAATGATTTGTTGTAAGTTCAGTAATTTGTGTTTCTAGTTATGTGTAGAAATGTTGATTCTGTTTTTTGGATAATCTCCCAGTTATTACGAAACAAAGATCAAAGTTAACAGTTGATAATAATGTTCCTGAAAAGCGCATTTTTAGATAAATAGCACTAGTAAATTAAACAATTGAAATCGAACGAAGATGCACAGAGTAGGAAACAAATGTTTGGAGAAAAATTGTTCTAAAAAAATGTCCGAGAAGTTATTTAACGATAAATGATGGGGTTTAGGATGGAGCTCTGGATGTGATATTGTATTTATGGGTGGTCTGTATGCATGGTGTCTATACAGCTGGCGACGTAGCCCGCCACTTTATTCTCTTACAATATTATAAACGATTAATTCTGATTATCACACGCCGAGTGTACGATTTGCGGTTGGAGACGCGCGAAGCGTGCATCGGGCGCCACACACACAAGAGAAATTAAAAATTGTACATAGTTAATAAGTTACTATTGATAACTGAACACTACTCGAACAGGCGAAAGGGTGCAACAAATTTGCAAACTCAATGACAAGCATGATGAAACTCGCATATAACTTAAACGATAAACCAACGATGAGTTACTTTATTATTCGTCTAATATTGATAGTGTTTAAAGTTAGAATCTAACCAAATTACTAATGAATGAATTAACAATTATTATAAACATTTAAATGACTAACGAACAAAAATGAGAAAAACCCACAAAAACACTAAAAAATTCAAAAATATATTATATAAAACCTATGAAATAATAACACACTTGTTACGTACTATTAAGTAAGTTGTTCAGGTCTTTCCCTTTTAATACCAACCAATAAAAATACCAACTATAAACGATTATAAATTACTATATATTTACGTATTACCACACAATTATGGCGAATTAGAAATGAGATTTGAGTGGGCGTATAAGTCGTACAAGCCGAAAGAGCTTCCAAGCGTAACACAAATGGGTCTCTGCTTTTCTGGCAACTTCAATTCCGCGCACCGCGTTCGATTTCTTGATTTCACCCTCCCACGCCATCCCGGACTTGGGTTTATCTCGCGCATCACCGATGTCCTGACGCGGACGCCGCTTCTCAATTGCTGCTCCTGCTAGCGCGCGCATTCTGTAATCCGAGAGTAGCGGCATTGTTGAATTAACAGTTAAAACCTAATCACATAATTAACGATTTATCGTAGAAGATGATGGAAAACCGTATATTAAAATAGTTAAACATTAGAAATAATTTCATCTAGAAATATCAATTGTAAATGATATCCTTGCATGTTGTCCCTTAACTCTTAGCTAGTTACTATCGTAATGTTTGACTAGTATCAAATGAAAGAAGGTTCTTGAAACCGAACACACCGAAACACCAGTAGATTTAGAATTAGTGTCATGTTTTTGTTTACGAAAAGAGAAACTAATTTATTTCAACAAGTACACTCCGGTTGATGAAATTTTGAATCTGTGTACCCCTTGCCACCCTTGAATGGAAAACAAAAGGAAGAAAATTTGACGGCCGCTTCGTGCTTTGATATTCTTTTGAGTCGCTTTGTATATGCATATGTTTATGTCCGAAACGAATGAAACCAATACAAACGAAAACACCACGAATCCGAAACGCAATCAAATTAAATTCAAACTAAAAAGGAAAGAGCGAATCGCAACAATCGTCGAAGGCAGAATGACATAAAATTTGGCTTCCATTTACATTATACATGCCTGTGTCGAATCAGAATGTTAGTGAGTTATGATTATTCCAAGAGACCCTCGAAATTAACTCGTCAGTTTTTGTGTTTCAAATCGACTTGATATATAAATGAATTCATACGATACTAAGATGAACTGCATAATGCTTTAATCGCCAAACAGAACAATGAAACATCAAAACGTCCTACGAACAACTTTGAAACCAGTTTTATACACGATCCGAAGATAATGCGAGAACTGTTTTGTTGAGTTATCAGAATTTTATTTGTACATTGTGCGGCGAGATTCAGTTCAGTTTACCTCTTCGATTTAGTTAGTCTAGTTTGTGTTCCTCACGATATACATATAATCAAAACGTTTAGATGCAATATGTAATTTTTATCAATGTGTTAAGTTTATTGTTTTGTGACATTGCCGCATAATGAAACCTGTGTTGTTATCGATGATTATTAATTTAAACTATATTGTAAATCGCAAACTTAATAACAAACAAACGAAGGAAGAAAACATGCGCGTCCCAAGTCATCATAAGCAGGCTGCCCGTCTTAAAACCACAAACAAAATGAAGGTAAAAAATAACTAGTTGTTGTTGATAAAACTAAATTAAACTTAACTCATACACTGAGAAGAAAGGTAATGATAATACATACAATATTTTTCAAATTGAACTAACCCTTTTACTTGTAAGTACATAATAACATCTGAATTGCAAAAATTACCTGAGATTATGTCGATGAGATGAGAGTGAATTTCTAAATAACATATAAAGTGAGCCCTATTTTACTTTGTAATAACGGACTTACACATATTATGTACTATAAAATCTATTTAAGTAAAACACAAACTTAAGAATTACGAGAAAATATATATAATACTACACAATGGCGATAATAATAACAGTTCATTGTAAAGGATAAGGATTATTTATTGATAATTATGGTGTATATATTTGGTGCAGAAATTGATGCAAAAAAAAAATACCACACGTAACTAAGGAATGATGATGATATTATACTATCTTACAACACGGGCTCATTTGTTTTCTCATTTTTCAATCAACAACAATTTTGTGATATTTTTAAGTATGTAATGATTGTTATTTGAAACTTTTCGAAATATAATAATAGTACACCCGATTCTACACAGAATACTAATAAACACACCACACGTTTATCACGTAAGCAAAGAAAATGTATAAATAAGAAAATCTTGACGACGAAGACACTTAATTGTACGTGTTCACACACAACATTCAATAAACGAAGTTGTTAAGGCATTAAACTTGATATATAAAAAATGGAAACATACTTTTCCCACATGAACTTATGGATTATTCAATTTTGATTTCGATGAGAAACCAAACGACGAAGCGTAAACATGCCCGAAATGATAATAATGATGTAATAATTAACAATCCGTAGGTAATAAGGGTGTTTGAAGTCAAAACAATGAAGTTAAACGTAAAATTAATGAGGGAGAGTTGTTAAAATAATATTGGTTTTGTCTATGAGCGGATTCTTTGACTTATGTACACGCTGTGTGACGATTCAGTCGCACACATTTTTTCAGTAACTGTCGGGGCAACAAATTTTCCTTCGGACGAACGAAAGGTTGCATTTTCAATTGACAAGCAGGACAATGATATTTTTATGGTCAAGTGAAAAATTTTACTGAGTTACATTTGTTCATTGCATTTAAGAGATTAAGAAATCTGTGGAATTGATTGTCAATTGGAAAACAGTCGTTTGTTTTGTTTTTGCCAGCAGTGAAGTGCGCGCGAGAATAATGTCTCTAACGCAATTCGAGATTTGTTTTGGGGGCCATTATCAAACATCTAATATCAAACATTCATAACGCCTATGTTGACAGGTATAAATTAAAAAGATATTTATTTTTTCGTCTATAATGCGCGTATGGGTAAAATATCATTCAGTTGGGGCCACTGATAATTTACATGGTTCGATCGATTGCGTTGGAGAATTCTTAAGCGTACTTAGCACTCCGAATTTCCATAGAGATTATTACCCCAATGCAAGAATTTAATAAAATGTCAATATGCACTGTATCATTCAACACACAATTGTTTTCTTTATACAGTGTGCCATATTATCATTCTCTTTAAATTGAACAATTGAGTTGTTGGATATTTGCCACGAAATTCTTCATGATTAAAACAACCTGGCATTTTGTTAAATTCCACGCTTATATAAATGTAAACCTTGTCCTTGAAGGTTTACAGTTCAGAATAGAAATTTCTGAACTTGATATAAATATATATATAATTAATTATTGATATATCTATATATATATTTATATTATTCTTTATTATTATTATTATGTAAAAAACAAGTAAATATTAAGAATAAACTAATGATGTGATGATAAAAAATGATCATTGATACAATGATCATGCAAACAGTGAGGTTTTTATTGAAGATAGAGCCTCTCATTTTCTGAATATAGTAGAGTTAATAAATATTATGTGAAATTTCACTTGCTGTCCACTTTCTTTATTTTTATTTGAAAGTCATACATAATTACATATTATTGTTTACCTATAGCATGACCAAGGGCATCAAATTGTTTACTGCAAGACATCCATAAAAAGTATAAATAGATTTTCACCACTCCTTCTAATCCAGATGGAATTTCAATCTTAGTCAATGATTCTATCAACTCGTTAAGGAGAGGATCTAGAAAAGCATCCACAATTTCAGCATTGTGGTTGAAGAGATCGTTGATAATTGCTGTTAATTGTCGGCTAATAAGGGAACTCATCCGTGCATTTGGTTTCAATCCAGTCACATTCACCTAAAATAAAACATCGCAAATTATTTAAACTAGTCACAATATTCACATTGTCACATACAGAAGACTCCATATGAATATCTGCATGAGCTTTCTTGAAACATTTCAGATTTTCACACCTGCTATCAAAATCCATTGTTAAATCAAGTTGGACTGGACTTGTTTTCATTCTGAAAAAATCATAGTTCAGACAATGATTTAAATTGCATACTAAATTTTTATTACACGAGATTTCCATCGCCATTTATTGATGCGACATTTCCAACTTTTCCATCCAAACGATAGTTGCTAGTAATGTTTAAATGAAATGCCAGCTTACATTTAATGCGGAGAATATGTTCGTCATCAATGTTTGAAGTGGAAAAACTGCCAACAATGAAGTCTGATAAGCCGGTCATTATTAATTGATTTATTTCATAGTGTCCACTAAAAATTATTACATTAGCAATATAAAATTTATGATTATTGAAAAACTTACAATACCAAGTTACTTTCAGAATCTATTTCATAGTGCTCCACATTTAAAGGATCTATAGGACCTGCCAGTAAAGGTAAACCGTTTTTGAAAATATATCTGAGGCAAGTAAACATCCCGTCTACTTCATTTTCAGACGGTAGTTCATCACACTTAGTGATTTGAACTTTTGATATTATAACAAAGAAAATTGTAATGATGATGGACTGTTTCATGTTGACTTGCAGACACAACTGTGCATTTTAATATTCAATATGGTATAATATCAATTCTGAACAAACAAGCAATGATAACGCATAATTAACGTGTGATTAACAATAATAATGCTGATATTTCGTTTCATGTGGATAAACTAGATTAATTTAATTCATGAGACGAACAAAAAAGAATTTTTATGAGATTTATGTTATAGTTTATGAAATTTTACTTATACTTTATTAATTATCAGAAAAATAGTAATACTCATTATGACAATTTTATTTTTTTAATTTAAAAATATACGTGTTTGTGTTTTTTAGCTCATAATCGCTTCAAATTTTATTGTATTGTTGGTACCCAACTTGAAACTCAACAATAGGTAAGTTCTTCGAGTCTAGTAACAAATAAATAGACATAAACTTAAATATAAGACTAAACAATTTAAGAGTAATGGGTTGCCAAACATTATTTTACACTCGCTGCAATTTCTAGCCCCACTGCTAAACCTTGCCAAAGCAATGTTTGATCTTGAGACCTTATCGGAAGTCGACAGACGTAAATAAATTCACAACTGCGCTGCACGTTCTTGTTAAAAGTCATAAACCAAACAGTGAAAAGTAAGAACGGCGGAAGGTAATAAAGAGAGTACGCGGTACCCGTCGCTTGTTCTTTTTTACGACCTTAGCTGATAGTTGATAAAACAATGTGGAAAATGTGGAAAACAAAACGCAGAAAAATACCGTGCTGCACGCGCAATTATGTGTTTACTTCGATACACAATAGTAAAAACAAAACAAGATGTGACTAGTGCAGCGTGCAGTGTGCAGTGTGCAGTGTGTGTGCTATACAGGTGGTTAGGATGAAGAATTAAAATTGATTTAATTTACTTCACCATTCCTTCAATTTTATTTACTTTATCAACTGGTAAATGGTAAGTAAATTCAATATTCTTTCATTTTTGATGGTTATAAGTCATTGGAAATTGCTGAATCATTAAATTTCTCATAACTATCTCTAGACGCTTAGTAATTTCTCAAAATATTGATTATTTCCAAGTCGTTTTAACGGTTTCCTAACAACGCGCCACGCACACACCCACAAACACATCACACACATTTTCCACGTACGAATTCACCTCGCCGCCGACGGCTTTGCATGCTAAGTTGTAAATAATCGATAATTGTATTCTAGGTGTACGGAATTGTTGTTATTGTCCGGGTGGCGTGTGGACGAAGGGTTCTTCGCGCCGCTCCTGCGTTTCAGTTTGTTTGAGACGCTCGAGCGCTTTGAACATATTACAAACACTCCGTTGACTTCATCAAAACACGCGTTATTCGACGAATATTATGGAAATTGATGTAGTCTCAATGTTTTTAAACGTTATTTTTGATTAATCAATTTGTGTAAGCTTATATTTGTGGCAATGGATAATAAAAGAAGTTCGGGCGCCATTAGTAAGATTTCGTTGCCGTTTTACGAACCGCCGCCGAGGAAAACAAGCGCGGAGATTATCAACGAAGCACGATTGGCTATAAGGGTAAGTTGTTAAATCAAATATTATTGACTCTAGACCATTTTATGATCAATATTACCCGATTTAATGCTTTGATTGATATTTACTACATTTACTTTAGTCAGGGACAATATAAAATCATTTTCATTTACTATAACTTCAGTTGCAATACTAAAATGTTTTTTATTTATAAAATACGAGTAGAGCTCAAAGAACATATATCAAAACAAAAACACAAGTGCAATATATCACGATCAAAGCAAACTGCAGTTTGTAATCAAATTAATTCAATGCAACATGCAAGGGATTGTTTTTGTACAATATTCAAACAAAAGCAATTTATAAAATATTTTCAGTTCTTGCTCCTTCATTGTCATGCAGTACACCTACCACCCATCGACCTACATCCGTTGCGGTGTTTCTTGCCGCCACCCTACGATTCGATCATGTTTCGAACCCATTCCGGTTCAACCTACTTTTTCCGTTTCACATAAATTATCTTTGAATGCATTTACACTGCAATACTCATTGTGAGCGACCGTCACAATTTTCTTCCGCATGGAAATTAAATACAATCAATAATACGAAAAGTTGTCTAGCGATAGATGACAAGACGTTGGTAATTGTTGAATGACACGCAAATTTATAAAAGCAAAAAAAAAACGATACGCGCGATACGTCAATTAGTTCCAACAAATGTGTCAACGTTAAAACATTTTCTAGATTCTCAAATGGCAGACAACTCGTTTGCGGCAACGTCCATTAAGCCTCTACAAACGAAAAGACCGTTCACGCCACGCGATAAAGAACGTCTTTTATTCGGCAAGCGGACGAAAAACAGGCCACCAAGTTCGTTTAGGTATTTTTTCCATTTACTAATTAAACACAATGTAATTATGAAAAAAATGTATTTTTAAATAGCTTGAAATACTTGCAAACTGAGGCAGAACATTCAATTCCTCCGAGCACACCGGAAAATGCACCGCTTCCCCAAGATGGTAGCGCACGAAGTCCTCAAAAACGTCACCAACGCTCCAATTCCATTTCGGAAATCTCGGATGGGCGCATTTTTAATTTGGGCGTCAAGGAAACCCACCAAAAGATACGATTACCTTCGCTGGAAAACATAAAAACCTTACAAAAACGCAAACTTGGGAAAAACACGTATTCCCTGGACAATCGTAATAAAAACTATTCATCTATTCTTGTTACTAGAACATTAACATGCATACTATTAATGGTAATAGTTTCGTGTAATTATTTAATGTGTTTTTGTTTCCCGAAATAGTGCCGGAGGAAAATGAGGCGGGTGCGAGCGAAATGCTAACACGCAACGCGTTTAGCTCGCCGCAGGAACGTACGGATTACAACGACAACCATAACCAAACGCCATTTGGCCGCCCCTTCCGCCAGCAGCAGAACCTTTCGCAATGTCTGCTTCTAGGACCTCAGAATCTGAACAAGATCTTCGAGAATAAGCAGATCGTCAACAGCTCGGAGAATCTGTTCGGGCAGACAGGTTACATTCATATCCAGCCGGTGGTCTGGCGTAATTCTTCTTATCCTTTAGCCGGCAACACGCGAGGCAAGCTACCGCCGCCGCCGCCACTGACCGTCACCACGGTCATCGACTCGCTGAATAAAGAGAGCGCACACCAGCCTACACCGGACAGCAACGTGAACGAACCGGTGGTCATCGGTTTATTGAACTCGCTCTATGATTGCATGGAAACCGAGGGGATGTTGAACTCGAAAGTTAGCTCCAAGATGAAAATACACATACTGAAGTGCCTGTACAAGTATGTGGAGAGCAAGAACGAGGAACTGCTGTTGGCGATCGCCCGCATTATTTTGGCTGTTAGCATATTCAACCGCGGGGGTGACGCCCCGTCGGAAATATCGGGCATGTAATGAATGTTTAATGTGTTTCAGCTAAGAGTCACCGGCAACAATTTAAGCGGCGTGTGTAAATTAATATTCAAAGTCTCGAAGAATGACAGGAACGACCAACTTTTCTTCAATAAGAATTTACTAGGTGATTTATGAAATTTTAATTCTCGACACACTATTTTCATCGTTCATTGCCCTTTGATTGTAGAACTTTTTGTGGACGCTATTGGAAGATCCAGCCCTTTGGACGATGCCGAAGCATGCGTCTACGGTTACGGATCGATTAAGTTTCTTACAATGAATTCGAAACTTTTACAAAAAATCTTATCGTTAGGCATTCTACCATTGATGGTGTTACACATCAAACTCGTGAATAATGCGGTAGGTTTATATTAAACACCCGCATGATGCCAATGACCTTTTATCCAAAATATTAATATTACTTTTAGAAATTGGAAAAGTTGCAAATACCGGAACAAACTAACCACGCCTTGTTTCAATTAACCGGGGCTTTGCGAAACGTTGCTTCTGATGAAGATATCTACGAAAATTTCGTAACGTCACAGGCAATTCCTGAATTATGTCTTACAATGGACATTTTCACAACCGACTTGGACATAATCAGTAACATTTCACGTATCTTCAGCACCATCTCCACTAATGAAGGGTGCTGCGACGCAATTGCGAGTTATAAAGATATCTATCGTATTTTTGTGCGGCTTTTTGATAAATATCCTGGAAATGAAGAAATTATTGTGAGGCTCACGTACACCATGGGTAATATTGTTGCTAACTTGGATAATACTCGTGTCAAAGTAAGATATTCATTGATTAGCCACATGAACATGAATTATTTATTACTATTTTACAGTTTTATAACGAAAGTAATTCCATTTCATCCTTATTGAATTTGTGGCGCATTTACTTGGAAAGGACTCTACAATATTGTTCCATGGGTGTGGAAAGCGAGAACACTGAAAATACCAATTCGGAAGATGTGATGATTAAGGTATACTTATTGAATAATAATACATATACGGAATTTAAATAACGGTGTTTATATTTTCTAGATAATCAGGATAATAGCAAACATGGCGATAAATCCTGACATTGGCAAAACGATGAACGAAGCATACGGTTCGCAACTAATCGATGAATTTCTAAAAGTATTGATCAGCAATCCGTTCAAGAAAAACAACGAGTTAGTCCTGTCCGTTCTGAGCACGATGAATAACTTATCGTTCTACTATTCACCGGATCTGGACGAAGACATTTTCCACATTAAACAAATCGATATAATGGAAGGTAAACGTGACCAGTCTACTTTCCACCCACTTTTTCTCATAACCCGAGCCATTTAATAATACATCAACGCTCCGAATCCAATTTAAACTTACATCATTCCTCAATTTGAAAATTGTCTGTTTTCAGCTATTTCGGAATACATTGCGTGCGACAACAAGGAGAATGTCATTGAAGCGATGAGAATATTGGGTAACTTGTCCCGATCTAAAATTACACGCGATTACGTCGCAGACTCGGATAGTTTCAACTCATTAATCGAAATTCTAAGTGGAGGTTTGCACGACTGTCCTATCAGTCAACAGATCATGATACATAATCATTTGTTTTCCACAGAGGAAATAAACCTGATTAAAACCACCGTTGGCGTGTTTGTGAATCTCATGTCGGATACGAAAAACCGCAAACTTTTCCAAGAGCAGAATGGTGTCGAGAAGTTGATCGGCGTGTTGAATCAATACGGACAGTATGATTGGACGCTTTCTATGCTGGTGTGCCAAGTCATTTGGAACTACAGTATTGATAGTGTTAATCTTTATGATGCATTCAGCGATAACGAAGTGCAGCAGATGATTGCCATTCTTGTCGATTTCTTGGATGAAGAGAAAATATTTGGGATCAGCGACTCACAAGAGAACATAGACGTTTTGGTCACGCATGAGTACATTGTGTGGGAAGAATTTGCCAATGTGGGCACGAATCTGTTGGAGAAGTTTGAGCAATTTTTGGATAAGTTGGATATGGAACGGGCGCGGCTGGAAAAACATTTGAGCTTTGCTAAAACACCAACTAAGGTCGATTCCAGCACCAATATTAGCTTTGCTGCTTGGTAATCATCAACAAAACACAATATAATATCCATAAATTATAAAATAAATGTATAAATGTATCTAACTACAATAGATGATGAATGTATTATGGTGGTGTTTCTATTTACAGTCATATGCTGAAATTTTGGTATCTTAGCAGATTGATAAATATTGCTTATTTCTACTATTCCCGTTTAGTATATATTTTGAGTTTAGGAGTAAACAAATGGTATGACTGCATTTTAGGAGACTATCGATATGCGCACGTCGTCTCGCGCACTGACCTTGCGCTCTGCGCGCAGGATGCCAGCACGATCGGCGCAGCGCTGCTTCAGTCGCTTCAGTCTGGTCCTGCTCTCCGTGCGGTCGCGTGGTTGTTGCTGCTTTCGGTAGTGTGCTCGCCATGGTTTTAGTGTTAACCAACGCAAATAGTGTTTTGTCGTGTGGTTTGTGTGTTGTGATGTGTACGAGTACTTCTGAACTGGTAATTGCTTTTATTTATCCTTTCAACATATGTTTGAACTATGTACTAAAGTAAATTTTAATAGCAATTTTTAATCAAAGTTTTGTAATCTTATTTTTGTATTTGCTCCATTTGAAATAAGATGCTCGCATTTTGTTTGCTAATTCTTAGTGTGCGCGTAAAGACAAATTTACATTAATTAAAGATCATATTTAGTCAATGCTTCTTTTACATTTTAGAATGCTAACATGAAATGATTATTGTCTTCACCATTGCCGTGTTTATCAGTTGTATCACCACGCGCATACATGCACACAGTTCCAATTCATATCTCTACAAAAACAACTTGTTTATCAGTGCTACGCGCGCCAACTCTGCACGCTTCGCTTTATTGCTGGCGCGGCCTACACTCGTTCGGCTCGTAGTTTGCATTGCGCGGCCGTTAGCAATACTGTATAAGAATTGTAATTCTAATCGGGGTGTACCTATGTGTTGTAATTTAAGTGTGCGTATGTGAACGCGAGTGAAATGCCGCATGGGTCTAAAATTATTAATATGATGAAGGTAATTTAATTCTATAACTCCCTAATATCATGTGCTTACACGTATTAAAAGTGGTGTGGAGCTTGTATCTACTAATTGTTATCATTTAAATGACTATTCAGATTCAATTCTTTATTTCGGCGTTGCGGTATTTAGCTTGTATCTAAATTCATATAATTATCCTCGAATTTTTCGGTGGTGTGTGAACCGCGTTTTCGTCGATATGTTCTTATCATTGCAACTAGTGAAACGTTTCTCGTTAATCGACACACTACTTTTTTACTACTTTCTTATAGGTTTGTGAACATTGAAACTAATATGTCACTGCGTTCTTGCAGGTACATTGTTTATCCTTTATATTAAAGGGATAATGGTTACCTTCCACTGCGTGTGAGCCTTTGGCATCGAATTCGAATGTAAGCATTTCTTAAATACATTTTACTATTTGATTATTTGCTCTCAGCTTGTATACGTAATGCAATCTGTATGGATAAGAGATATTCGCAATTAAAATAATTCGGAAACATTTGATAAATTTCAATTTTTAGCACTATCATTCGCGTTTTTCGACCTCATGCCCCATTAAATTAAATTATATTTAAATTCCATCTTTTTTTAAGAATTAAAATTTCATCTCTCAGATTTCCGTTTTATTTATCCTATCTTATAGAGAATAGTCCGTAGATTAAGACGCTGCGATCAGATCTTATTTATCTCTTTTAGTTTACGAGATATTCGCGATTGAAGAAAATGGCCAAAAATTGCAAAATGTCACTTTTTAGTACTTTTAGTCGCGTTTTTTGACCCTTTACTATAAGAAATATGATTCTATTATGTTTTTATCTGATAGAGAATGTTTCAGTCTTTCATAATCAGCAATTTGTTGGTTGCTATCGCTTTTAGTTTAAGAGATATTGATTATCAAAAATCGTCGAAAAAAAGTATCAAGCACCCCCCCTTGGCAATTTTTTTCTTAAGAATTAAAATTTCATCTCTCAGATTTCCGTTTTATTTATCCTATCTTGCCAGAGAATGAGTAAGATTAAGACGCTGCGTCAGTCTTGTCTTTGGTTTACGGGATATTCGCGATTGGAAGAAATGGCCATTTACCAAAATGTCACTTTTTAGTACTTTTAGTCGCGTTTTTTGACCCTTTTCTATAAGAAATATGATTCTATTATGTTTTTATCTGATAGAGAATGTTTCAGTCTTTCATAATCAGCAATTTGTTGGTTGCTATCGCTTTTAGTTTAAGAGATATTGATTATCAAAAATCGTCGAAAAAAAGTATCAAGCAATTTTTTCTTAAGAATTAATATTTAATCTCTTAAATTTCGATTTTAACTTGCATATCTTGCAGAGAATATTTAGAGAATTGTAGAAAATTTGAGGTTTTAATTGGATTAATCATCGTGTACTTTTTCGGCCATCAGCAAAATATTCGGGACGGGCATGTGTGGCGGTTTTGTTTAATGATTTGTCGCGGTTGGAGTGTTCTTAACTAAGAAATAATCTCTGCGCGAGTTTTCAGTTGGTAGAATATATTACAGGATATAAAATCTCCTCATTAATGAAAAGGTATGTGTGTAATAAATTTTTTTCATGGAAACTTAAGGCGGTGTAACTTAAATTGATTATTCCATTTGAGGATACTATTTTTGCATGTATCTGCAAATTACAAACACGTGGTAGCAGTTTTATCAAAATTCTTAATCGCGTTTCGGAAAATAATGTGCATGATTTAATTATTACAGTTATAAAATCTGCGCAATATTAAAATGACAATATTTATGTGGTCGACCGCGCTCACTATACCGTCGGCCGTCAGCTCAGTCATCTTTCGCTTCGACGTAGACGATTTTTTTAATCGAATTGCTCTCGATAACATCATTAAATTAAGAAATTTTTGTTGACCTAATAAAATCTTCTATCATGAGTAGTTTTTCGTTTTTTGTAGTTTGGTATATCTTAATATGTACAAAGAAATAGTTATTTTGTCCCTGTTACCGACTGTATTGCTGCGCGCCGTCACTTGCCGTCTGTTGATTTGATGTGTTCCACCGAATATTCTATTAATTTATGATGATGCGCCGCACATAGTTTATGTAAGGATTTGGTGCCATCAATTAGCAAATATATATTTCACAGTATATTAAAATGTTGGCAATATTTTAATTTTTATAGCACCTTTTTGCTCAATTTCCGTTGATTTTGTGTAAGATCTTTGATTTTCATTAAATCATTACATTGTTTTCCTTACAAATTTCCGTGTCATGATGTGAATATTGATTATCTTTGTAGTTGCAGGTATTTGTTTGTAACACCTGTATATTAGTTTTACTAGCACCACGTAGAGATTGTTTTATTTGTAGTTTTGGATGTTCTTTGTTTCGAACTTAGGTTTTCTTGTTTTCATATTCGTTTTATTGTGCCCGTAGATATTTTGCTTCAACTGTTTGTTTTAGCATTTCCCTCTTTGCACTTTGAATTTTTCTTTTGAAACGCCCTGTATATTTGTTTCCGGGTAACGTTTAAGAAAAACAGGCGATATTTGGTGTTGAAATGTTTTCCTGTCTGCACTTAAGAATTTTTCTTTTTATGAATTCCTGTAGCGCTTATTTTCCATCACCTAGAAAATGGGCTAATTTCTTTATCCCGATAGAACATTTTGACGTCATTTACTTGCTTAGGTATATGAAATAATGCTGGAGTCGTAAGTTCTGTATCAATATGGCGGCATGTATTTTGTTGACATGTAAAATCTAAACTTGTATTCTATTGTTAATAAATAGAATACATATATAAAATGTTTTTCTGTTTTCATATTAAATTTTTCATTTGTAACACCCTGTATATTTGTTTCCATTTTCAACCCCGTAGAAAATATGCTATTTGCTAATTGCGTTATTCCGGTAGAACTGTACGAAGTGGTATTTGCTTATATGTGCGCGGCTTAGCAGGTCGTAAGTCCGGTTTCAATATGGCGACATGTATTCTGTAGACATATATTCTGTTGACATGTAAAATCTAAACTTGTATTCTATTGTTAATAAATAAATAGTAAGATATATTGACTACTTTATTGATTTGTGTAATTTCTGCCTTCTATCATTTCAGGAACAGGTCTAAGAAGTTCCCTCTCTCAGGGGATGATCCCCTCTATATAGAAATTATTAAGGTAACCTATATGATTTAGTGGCCTCAGCTTCTTTCATTTCAGCAGGTCAGAACTTGTAAGAATATTTTAAGTGTCGCCTCCTCGCGGGGCGGCAAACTTGAAATATTTAGACAAGACCTTATAAAGTTGTCCTTATAAGAGATCACCTTTGGGGTGATCCCCACCATAAAATTGTTGATATGCCCACAGTAATTTCGGGGATGTGCGGGAACATCGTAGCTGTAGGACCGGGAGCAATGCAGGCATTGAGGCAGTGGGCGATCGACCAGGCGCCGGAGGCGCCTCTGGGAGGATCGACTTCATCGAACTAATCTTATAACGACACGTGCCAAAAATTTAAAATTATCACTATTCTCTTCTTCTATCTCCTCCTCTTCTCTACTCTACTCCTCTGTTCTCTTCCTTCTATCTTCTCCTATTCTTTACTACTCCCATTCTTCTATTTCTCTGTTCTCCCGTTCTCCATTTATTTTCTTACTTCTCTTATTTCGCCTCCACTTGTATTTCAATTTCTCTTATATTTCGTTGCATTTCGCTATATGCAGCAAATTTCACCCGTATTTTATATTTGAGAAAAATGCAGCTATAACCGCTGAGATTCGATCCGTGTCTGCTGGCATGCGGCGGTGCACGTCTCCCACTCGTACGGTGTTTTTATTGTCTGATGTTGATTCTTCTATTTATGTTTCTACTTTATTCAACTTTTTAAAAACAACAACACAAGTCTCAGATATGTTGCACTTGCTCCATGCGCATAATATTTATATTGAATGTGTGAAACGCTCATATACTGAAAAGGCAAGGAGGATACCAAAAACAAATATGAATGAGATATAAATTTATATTAATTTTATTTTATTGACAACATTTACAAATACAAACATTTACGATATAGAAAAATATCGACAACTATTAAATGCCGCGGAAGACTTGCCTTAAAACATGCACACATTTGCAACTATTCTGCGATGAATATTCGGAACTCCAGGGCCCGTGTAAGTGTAAACTTCATTTCCGGGCACATCCGTTATCTACTTATTCGAATTAAACATAAATCCAAGTTATTCTGGGCGATAACCGACAGCAGACGGATACGCAAGCCGTGCGCATGCAGGCCAACACGAGTGCAGTATAATCAACACACGAAAAATATTCCCCGACGACCGACAGTAGTTCACTCGTGCTTATTCTCTGGCAAAATTCCGTTCACGCTCAATTCGAATGAATGTCGTCGATTGCTTATTGAATATAAATCGATTTACGATCAAATTAAAATATGGAGAAGTAAAACTAGTTGCAATGAACACGCGTGTATTGCTCGGCAACCGGAATGGAACTGAATGCGCGCTCTGAAACGACCACGCGGTCACGCGGTGTTGCTATTGCGATAGGCTCAACAAAAAATTGTTTACATATAAATATTCGTGTATTTTAAACTATACCTGCCTAGCTTCCTAGGCAGTATTTCTACGGCGCTCCCAACTACAGCTAATTAATCGCAAGATGGAGACCATTTTCTGAAACAAATAAAATTTAAAAAAAAACAATTCAGTTTACGAATTCATATTTATGTAGATATTACATATTCGTATTTCAACCGACGATAATCCGGGGGCCATTTTAAACATTCGCCCACCATGTGTAGCGTCATATAAATTATCCCTATCTCTAGATGCCACGTTGAAGTTTCTGAGCTGCCAAAGTCGTGTGCAAACCCGAAAAAATACAAATAATTCAGGAAAAAGGGTAAAAAATTCACCATTTTATGCAAATTTTCACGGGTTGCAGATCGAATTTCTGCAACACATAAATACAGACCGACGGAGATTTTAATTCCGCATCTCTAGATGCGTCTAGATGCAGACTTATTGTGACACCGTGTTCGCGTGTTCTACAAAAAAAAAACTACAATTCTAAACGCAACAAGTACTAGTGCGTATTCTCACCACTTTCAATATATCTCGCGTTACGGAATTTCTTGCAATAAAATTCGATACAGGGAAATAAAGAATTAAATTCCGTATCTGGGAAAATTATTCCGAACTTAGTTTAAGACCGCGTTCGCGTGTTATAATATTAAGCACTCTTGTGAACTTTCGGGTAATCTTTAGTCTCGTGATGAAAGATTCGCTCACGCTCAATGCGCATGCGTTCAATATCTCGCGCGGTTGATTTACTTTTAAAATGCGTTTGAAATACACGGCTACACTGACGAAGGCGCACGAACTGACCCGACCGTTACCGAAAGTACATTTTATTGTTACATCTGTATTCTCGTGATGAGATAAATGCTCACGATTTTCTCGCAAGTGGAAAATATTTTTATTAATTATGTATAATAAAGAATTTTAAAAGTTCATAATACTAAAGTAGAAGAACTTATTTGAAGGTAGAAGAAATTTCATCTCCGAAAAAAGTTATCACCGTTTCAAATTAGCGTGAGCAAAATTCATAAGAGTACTGACGCGTTAAGAAAGTACAATTCCTAGCGCAACGATTAATTGCGTATATGCGTACACAACTATCATTATAACGCGCGTTACGGAATTTTCTCGCAGTAAAATTCGATACTGGAAATAAAGAATTAAATTCGCATAAAATTATTCCGAACTTAGTTTAAGACTTTCATAATATTAAGAAAGTACAATTCCTAGCGCAACGAGTACTATTGCGTATATGCGTTGTCACCAATGAATAACGCGCGTTGAATTATAAACTTACCAATGCAGCGCTCATCGGATTGCAAGGGTACGGCATGTCTGAAACGACCACGCGGTCACGCGGTGTTGCTATTGCGATAGGCTTAACAAAAATTGTTTACATACAAATATTCGTGTATTTTAAACTATTCCTGTCTAGCTCCCTAGGCAGTATTTCTACGGCGCTCCCAACTACAGCTAATTAATCGTAAGATGGAGACCGTTTTCTGAAACAAATAAAATGAGAAAAAAACAATACAGTTTACGAATTCATATTTATGTAGATATTACATATTGTTATTTCAACCGACGATTATCCGGGGCCATTTTAAACATTCGCCCACCATGTGTAGCGTCATATAAATTATCCCTATCTCTAGATGCCACGCTGAAGTTTCTGAGCTGCCAAAGTCGTGTGCAAACCCGAAAAAATACAAATAATTCTGGAAAAAGGGTAAAAAATTCACCATTTTATGCAAATTTTCGCGGGTTGCAGATCGAATTTCTGCAACACATAAATACAGACCGACGGAGATTTTAATTCCGCATCTCTAGATGCAACTAGATGCAGACTTATTGTGACACCGTGTTCGCGTGTTATATCATGAAAACTAGAATTCCAAGCACAACAAGTATTAGTGCGTATACACACAACTATCAACATAACTCGCGTTACGGAATTTTCTCGCAATAAATTTCGATACAGGGAAATAAAGAATTAAATTCCGCATCTGGGAAAATTATTCCGAACTTAGTTTAAGACCGCGTTCGCGTGTTATAATATCAAGAAAGTACAATTTCTAGCGCAACGAGTACTATTGCGTATGTGCGTATACATACAATTATCATTATAACTCGCGTTACGGAATTTTCTCGCAATAAAATTTGATATAAGGAAATAAAGAATTAAATGCCGCATCTGGGAAAATTATTCCGAACTTAGTTTAAGACCGCGTTCGCGTGTCATAATATTAAGAAAGTACAATTCATAGCGCAACGAGTACTATTGCGTATGTGCGTATACATACAATTATCATTATAACTCGCGTTACGGAATTTTCTCGCAATAAAATTCGATACAGGGAAATAAAGAATTAAATTCCGCATCTGGGAAAATTATTCCGAACTTAGTTTAAGACCGCGTTCGCGTGTTATAATATTAAGAAAGTACAATTCCTAGCGCAACGAGTACTATTGCGTATATGCGTATACACACAACTATCATTATAACTCGCGTTACGGAATTTTTTCGCAATAAATTTCGATACAGGGAAATAAAGAATTAAATTCCGCATCTGGGAAAATTAATCCGAACTTAGTTTAAGACCGCGTTCGCGTGTTATAATATTAAGAAAGTACAATTCCTAGCGCAACGAGTACTATTGCGTATATGCGTATACACACAACTATCATTATAACTCGCGTTACGGAATTTTCTCGCAATAAAATTCGATACAGGGAAATAAAGAATTAAATTCCGCATCTGGGAAAATTATTCTGAACTTAGTTTAAGACCGCGTTCGCGTGTTATAATATTAAGAAAGTACAATTCCTAGCGCAACGAGTACTATTGCGTATATGCGTATACACACAACTATCATTATAACTCGCGTTACGGAATTTTCTCGCAATAAATTTCGATTCAGGGAAATAAAGAATTAAATTCCGCATCTGGGAAGGTTGTGCGATTGTACTATACAAGCTGAACGCATGAAATCAAATAGTAAAATGTACTTTTGGTATGCTTACATTGTTTGGATTCGAGGTCCGCACGATGCGGTGGTCCCATACGCACGTTCAGGTTACCATTATCTCTTAATATAGGAGATAAAGAAATTAGTTTTAAAGTACACAAACTTATACGGGAAATAAGAATTTGTAGATTTGGAAGGAACAGTAAAGCAAACGATAAGAGGGAAAAGAGAACACAACAAGAACGTGGTTCACACTCACACCACCAAAAAGACGAATATGAGTACAAATTTTATGTATAATTTAGGTACAAGCTAAATACCGTGCAACATCGAAAGAATGAATTGAATCAGAATGTATGTATACATACAAATGACAAAACATAAATACGTAGATATTTCACGGTATTTTCAACATTTGAAAGCACATAGTATAAGGATTTATAGAATTAAATTACCTTTATATTAATATTAATGGGCACATGTGTGGAACCTCACTCGTCTTCATTTGAACACTCACTTAAATTACGACACATAACTATTTGCCGATCTGAATTACTATTCTAATACAACATGACGACCGGTACGCAATGCAAATAACAAAGTGTTGAGACCGTTGAGTCTGCGTGCCAACTGCGCTGCACTGCTTGCAGGTAAGCTGAGCACGCAACATTGATGCGCGTAGAACATGCGCGGTTTACATGATAAAAAAGTTGTTTTTAAATATACCTACATAAATATAAATACTCTGTTCATTTATTTCAAATCAAATAATTATTTAACAAAAGTATTTATTAGTGTACATGCAGTATCAACCAAACTTACAATATACTTATCGATAACTGTAAGAAAAAAGCTGCACGACTCTGGAGTAATATAAATTTTATTAAAGTCACAAACTAAAATGGCTTATTACATAGTTTTTATAATTTTACAAATCTCGAGATTCAATGATCATTCAGATCTGAAATAACGCTTTTCATAACAATTTTAATTTGACTTTGATTTTATATTATATGAAAAACACGCGTATGAAAATTGATTTTCGTTTGTAAATATTCATCAAAAATCACCTCTATATAAAAATCTTGTATCTCACGCATCGTATTGTTTTGATTTTACAGACATCATCTCTTCAGCACACCCAACCTTCATCTTCAAACCTCCCCAACATCAATATCTTCAAATATAGTTAATGTTAAATAATACAAAATGAAACAAATAAGAGTATCGAAACAAAACGCGATAGCCAATTTGCATAACAAAATACTTCTGTCAACATAAACTAAACAAAAAAACACAAACAAACAAAATAAATTAGTATCAGTCAGTAGAATAACGGCAAATAAAAAAGTCACAAACACAAAACATATAAACAATATGGTAATGCAGGGTTGTGAATACGAGTATACATAGTTCGAAAAAGATTAATTAAGAAACAGCTTAGATCGTAAACTAATTTCTCATTACGATTCATTTTCGATAGCCTTGTAACACCGACCCCCTGCCCACTAAATCTACTACTTTATAAACAAACACGTCCACATGACATCAATGTCATTTTCCTGATGTACAAACTAGTCGAAGTTTGTACAGCCTCCAAGAAAGTATCGAACAAAACATTTACCACTACATTCAAAAATATTTCGAGAACGTCGTTACAATTATTAACCAGTGCATTCATTCAATGCGTTCTCGTCGAATTGCTTTTGTTTTCTTTCTTTTGTTTTTGTAGAAAATATAAGTTAACAAGTTTCAAAAAAATTCTAGCCCAAAAATATTCGCTCCGAACGACAACTTACGCAGTGCTCTCATATCTCGGCGATAGAGTGTCGCGCCTTAAAATATTGCTTCTTTCGTAACTGTTTTTCGTGTCGTCGTCAGACTTCCGACGGATCCATCTCGTCCACGCTCTGTACAGATAGTTCCGTATTAACGTCCGAGCGATCATGCAAGTATGACTTCGCGTCAAACAGCTCCACCACCTGCAAAGAGTCAAAATTACACCAGGCATCGCAGATATCTGAGCGGTTAGTCATGAAAGCTACCTTTCTCACTAGCCCCGGATAGTCAGTGTTAATCCTCTCCCAGTCAATCGGCGGTACCAAACATAGCGGCGACATAGCCAAACGCGCCAAATACTCAATTGTATACTGATATTTACCATTAGCCTCTGGTGACGTGGTGCCCTGCATGATTTCCTCAATGGATATATTGGGACGACGCAGCATAGGCCGTTCCGATGTTTCTTCGGGTTGTCCGTTTGGTACGAAGCCAGGCGACGGGAGAGAGTCCGGTGGAGAAAGGGGCGGCAGATCGGCGGCGATCGCTTGCGGAAGACTGTCAAAGCTGTAGAATTGACCGATGTCTTGGATTGGTTCGCCAGAGAAATATTCGTCCAGAACGAGTTTACTTGTCTAAGAATTACATCGAAAAATGAATATCTGTTTAAAAATAAGAAATTTTCAACAACTTACACGAACAATATCCAAATTATCGCCGGTAATCTTGATGGTGTGTCCGCCGGTGACGACGGTGTACTTGTATTCGCCAATACTGGCGTCGTTGGTGCTAAGACTGTGAAGCAGCGATCTATGGCGCTGATTCTGTTGAAGGCCGCTCTCCTCCGATGCGGACGAGTTGATGCTGGAGCTGGAGCCCGTCAACGGGCCTCCGACGGCGCCGTGCTCGCGCACAGGCGACGCATTTCTCCTGATTGTGTCTTCGATCAATTGCTTAGCGTGTCTACAAAATTATGCATTAAATTCCTCACACTTTTGTTAAGTTTTAAGTTACTTACATGATGCTTTCTTCGTTTGCGCCAGTTATTTGGACCAAACGTTCTTTGGCACCGGGATTAACTGCAAAAACACTCAATTAAAAACAGATGGATAAAAAACGTGGAATTATGCGTTAGATTTGATGCATTAATAAAACGAAAACAAACGAAGTTGTTACATGCGCAATATTAACATCAGCAAAATGAAAACTAAATATTTCCTTCTAGCACAGCCAAAATAACGTAAAAAAACACTCTTTGAGTAAAAAATTAATACTCAAACATAAATATTTCACGAAACTATTAAACATTATTGCTATTAATATTGTTATAATGATTGTAAAACTCGGCATGAATCTATTATCTAATGATGCCGCTAAAAATGCAAAATGCAAAACATGTGCATGTGTAAAGTGCGTTTTTGAAACCAAAAAACTAAAAATTCTCACATGACATATCTTAATTAGTGCGCATACATTAAATTTTTAATCTGCTTTGTGGGTGTATGTGGTAAGTCTAGATAAGTGTGGTAATTGCGAGCGTATGGTGTGGCATTATCAGTCAGTCACAGTCAGTAATGCGGTTTTTGTAAACTTTGCTAGCACCCGATGCGATTTACCTCGCTGAAACGAAATGATCGTTTCGCTAAGCTCTTCAATCATGTGCACTCGCCGCCCTTTGATCCCCATTACTATAATCACACATTTATATATTCAAACACAATACGATACGCACATCTTCAGCGATGACCAGCTAACAATTAAGATTTATGTTCACAAATAAACATAATTACAATCAAATTAATCAAAATTTTTACCTTTTCCGGAATCTGCATTGCGTATGACGACCTCGTCTTTACAATAGTTCTTGCCTGGTATTCGCGTGGGCTGCTTGAACTTCCCGGAAGGTTTTATCACCTCGCCGGGAGCAAGCAGCGGCGGGCTGTTGGATGTGATCGACATCGCCATCATTGATTCGGACATTGCGGCTACATTATCAGTCGATTCGGCCTGTAATCGGGAATAAGTATGTTAATTCTACCACGCTACTTTTGATTTTGAGTGAGTACCTTCTTTCTATAATACTGATTCATTAGATCAGAACCCTTCCAGTCGTTAGCGCGAAGTTCGATAAGTTCGAGTAAGTGTAGTCTAGACAAGAAGTCTAGTCGAGCATCATCCTGCGAGCTGTTCCTGAACACGACGAACGCACGATTCAGTTGATCTTGGTATAATATATCCAAATATGCACCATAAACCTGTAAGATTTGTAAAAACGATTGATTATTTATTTATTAATTAAAGAAAATAAGCATTGGTAAGATAAACATAATATGTTTGAAATTCTTGAATAATATTGTGTGAAGTGTTATCAAGCAACAATGTTTTTATGCAAAACTCACCAAACCAAAGGTAATACAAACAAAAGAAATAAAAAGTTACTCCAAACACAGTAAAAACGAATACGAATATTTCTGGGAATAACTAGAATTGAAAGACTAGCCCACTTAGTAAAACAGATGTTGAGAGATGTTGAAAAGAACTTTTGTATTCTAGGAATTCAAGAGTAGTCTCGAGGGTTATATGACCATCGATAGTAATAAATGGTAGTTAGCGATAGGAGAGAGAATTCCAAGCAAAATATAAAGCAATAAACGGAAAATTTTGAGACACCAAAGATAGAGATTTTGGGAATCCCTAAAATCTGATGAGCAGATGTCACTGGTTGGAAAAACCACGGCTTTATCACGAACTTCTTTTGAAAAATAATAATATACCTGACCTACCATTAAGTAAACTAACAATTTAATTCTAAATGTAAGACACTGATTAAATTTGATGTGAAATAAGTAAATAACTCTTTGTGAGAGTGATATTTAATCTGATCTGACTCAATTGTGCATAAAAGTTTACCATGCAAACATTTAAATATTTGTTGATGCCTGCTACACAAATAAAACCCTGTCATCTTGCCTTGAATAAAATAAACACATCTTACCTTCAAGTGTTGGCACAGATTAATAATACTGTCTTTATATGAAATAGTTGGATCAATGTTTGGTGATACCAAGAGAGCAGCCACTTGATCCACAGCCTGCATGACATTTTCAACTAAAAAACAAAAACAATTAAAATTCATAACAATCACTACTTGTTTATATTGATAAATTAAATATTGTTGTATTATTGTGTAAGGAAAAGCGCAATATTTACCAGTTGACATGACGCCATCCTGCTTCAACTTATTGGCGAGTATCTGCGCCTGGCTGTGCGATTTGATCAACTCATGCTGCAGCTTCTGCTTGGGATACTTCAATCGGGCCGAAATTCCCAACGACGACATGATCACGGCTGTTTTTCGTTGCGTTCGTTACTTAGGACTAGCGGTGCTGCAACCGAAGCGACGCGTGGCTACATGTACATATTTATAAACGGTTACAAAAATGAAGCGCACATTAAGCCGCCGCGCGGCTCGCACAACACGCAGGCGACTGTTTTCGAGTTAGAAAAAGTGGGTGACTCATGGCTCGCGCGCTCGAGCACTGAGATGAAAAAAAAACCTCTTACCCAACACTTTTAACGCGACGCATTGTCGTGCGTGACATTGAGATGGCAATTCGCAATCGCGGGGATACGCTGACAGCGAAGGATATTTACCTGCGGGACGTCGAATCGGCTGTGGAGATGTACGCGCGAACAGCACCAACACACGCACTGGCGGATGGGCAACAAGGTGCACTCGGTGCAGCGGCTGGCAGGACAACGGTTTCGCTCGTTTTGCTCCCCGCCTCGTTGCTAACGCCCACGAGCAGCGAGTAGCGGCAGCCGCAATGTAGTTTCCAACTTTGTTGGCGTTTCCGCGAGTGTTGCGGGCATACGGGCAAATTTAGAAGGAGCACGTGTCAGGTGCTCATGCGCAGCTTTGAATTTCAACTCTTCGCTTCCTGCGACAGCGACATTTCTAGGTCAAGAACACATTAATACCGAAAAGTTGACTGTAGCAAAAACTATGATTGAAAAGTGTAATTACAGCGTAACCAACGGTACAGTTAGAAATCGACCTGTACGAAACTTTCATATCTTCACTTCTAAATCTAGTTTATAGCTATAAATTATTAAAACTTACGTTAATAATTTAAGGGAAGCCAGCGCAGCTAATATCGAATCACTATCAACTGACATTGACAGAACAAATGTGATTTACATATCAAAATTCTTTACTTTATACAGATTAACCACCTATCCGTAAATCGTCATAATCATATGCATAAATATTTCTCTCAAATAAACAAATTGAAACAATCATTCATAAACATCTGGAAATTTTGTTAACTAAACAGTAATTATTCCATTGGCGACTACACAATATGATTCAGTATTTATCAACTAAATGTTAAGGTAAATTAATTATAGTACATACTAATATTCACAATATCGTCGAATAATGCCTGCACGCCTCCTAGCGTTTCCGCGTTGTACTTATTTGTATTATTATTTAACTTTGCGCTCACTTCCTGGTAGGCAATAACAATTGCGCGGCTGTCATGGCGTCCGGAAACAGCGAATGGTAATTGATGAGCGGGACGTACGCAGCGGTGATCACCCGGCCAGCAAACCATCTACCGTGCAGTGAATTGACTGAAGCCACGGCGGTGGCAATGGATGGACATTTGACATAGACGTTGCCTTGTGGTGAACCCTTGTCGACGTAAACATGCAACACACCACCGTGTTTGTTACATTCTTCAATGACATCGTCGCGGATCTCCACGTCCCAATTGCTATTTGACTCGCTGGTTGGATCAAACATGTTGCTCAGCATGAAACATTGTGTTGCAATTGGTGGTGTGGTGGTTTGTTGAACTTGTGGTACCACAGGTTGACCCGTTGCCATGCTGAGTGCATTTGCAGCAGGTGCTGGTATTTGCATTCCGGCGCCTTCGGCCAATTTGAACATAAGTTGCAATCTACCAGTCGCTCCGAGATCTATTCCAGACCGATCCAGTTCATCAGAATCCAAAAGTGACGGACCTTGTTGTTGTAAATCAAGACGTTCGGTAACATTGCCCACTTTCATTGGTCGACCAGCCAGTTCGAACCCATTGAGTTGTTCGAGCGCTTTCTTCGCGTCATCGCAGTTATGGAATGTGATAAAGCCATATCCCTTCGACCGACCTGTTTCAGGGTCCATAATCAGTTGAATATTATCAATCTTACCAAACGGTTCGAATATTCCACGCAGCATGTCTTCGGTGATATTGAAGTGCAAGGATCCGACGTACAAACGCATCGGGCCTGTCATTCCTTTTGGCATTAAGTTAGGCATGGCGTTACCCATTCGATTCTTTTCGGCCTGAGTGTGTTGAACAATTATAGGAACTCCCAGCAGTTTCTGACCGGACAAACCTAAAGCCTACTCAAAGAAATCAATTAATATATTTTTTCACGAATAAAATTACAATAATTACCAAAGTTACACTTTCTGGATCTCGAAATTCAATATAGGCAATCCCCTTGAATCGCCGTGTCTTGTTGCAGGTAATCATCCGGACATCACGTACTTTACCAACGGCACTGAAGAAATCCTCCAGGTCTCTAGTGCGAATCCGCTGGCTCAACTGCATGACAAAAACAGTACGCGCATCGCGTTCCTCTGGACTCAACTCTTCATTAGGTGAGCCTGAACGTTGATACCCCAGTCCGATGGGAGAATGACGCTTCTTCGGAAATGGGTACTTAATTGACGGTGGTGATGGTGAGCGTTTGCGATGCACCGGCGACCGCGACTTCCTACGATCGCGGCCATCTCGACCGCTTTTCGGCGGTTTGCGATCGCGGTCACGATCACGCGACTTGGAACGACGATTGTCGCGCGATCGTGAGCGTTTTCTATCCTTTGAGCGGCGACGATCGCGAGAGCGACTGCGTTTCTTGTCCTTCGAGCGTCGCCTTTCACGCGAACGACTGCGTCTTCTATCACGTTCTTTATCCTTTGATTTACTACGACTTCTTCTCCTCCTAATATAATCAAAATATTAGAATTAGATTTTTTAAATTAAATTTAAACAAAAAAGTTTACTTACTCGGTTGATTTCTTACTATTTGAATCACTTCCTCCATTTTCCTTGCCCTTTGACCCAGAGTACTCGTCCTATGAACAGCAACAGCAATAGTGATGTGTGAAGGGGCGGCGCAGAGACAAGGGGTGTGCGAAAACAGAAATGCATTAATCAACTGAATCAAAACATACAAATGTACGCGCAATGCGCGCATACATAAATCTTTTGCAGCTCACATTTAACAAACACGAAAAAAAATGACAACAATTACACAATAATCATTAATATTATGCTGCTTTAAATGTGAGCGCAATAACAAACGTTCTCAATTCAACAAAACATATAAGGCTGTGTTCGTCGGTAGATAACTGCAACAGATATTGTATATATTTATATAAAAGTATGCGACGTTGATCGCACAGAATCATCGTCGCCGGTGGCGGAGCAGATAATTGTCGAAGTATTTCGAGTAAAATAATACGCGGGCCGCATTTTGCGCTCGTTTCGACGTCTAGTCGGGACTAGACTTACCGTCGTCCAGACTTAACAACAAGAGGAAGGACGCTGGGTATTACTTGATCCAGAGAGAGATTCAATCAATTACGTTCTGAAAAAACACACGCAATAAGACCAGGCGCTACAAAGCGATTTCGAAGAGTTTTGTTTGTCTTTTTTTTTTTTTTTCCATAATTTTTCTTTTGTTTATTTACGTTTGCTCCTAAACTTGGACCAATTGAATCCATATGATCAGTGTAAGAATGTGTGTGTGTGTATGTTGTGTGTGTAAATTAGAGTAACTGTGGCTGTACTTTTTGGTCATGTTTTTGCTCAGAAGCAATAATTTTATTCGGCCTGCAGACTGATTGAAGTCGAAACTACACGACTGGCCGCGTCGGGATCATAGTGAGTCCTCAGCAACAACCCTAAGCGAGAAATTCACCCATCAGCAACAATGTAACACAGTAAATCACCATCAAAAAATAATAATAAAACAGAATGTATATAGAGAAAGTGTAAACAAAAACATTTGAGTTCTCAAACTGCTTGTTTACTAAACATTGAGCTTTTGCTAGTTTTAGACTTGTCTCAATCTGAATGAATATAGTTTGCTTATAAACTAAATTATAGTGACTGAACAGTACCTGGTTGCTTTATTTTTTCAGTTAACGTGTCGATGGCGTAAGAGACCGATTTTAACCTCATTAGTCTAAAATTAAAATTACGATGTAATGTAGCAAAAAAATTATCACATAAAATTGTGACGTGATGGGATCGACACGAATTTTGCGTTCATGTCTTGACCACATTCGAATGCATTCAGTACGCCCGTATTTCGTGCACAATTGATCATGGCTCGCCTTAGAAATAATGCCCGCGACGGACAGCGTACTGTATGCATGCGCAATCACTGTGATTAACATACATCGCATAATCTACAATTACACTAACAATACGTTGGCACGTTACGATGCCAAGCGAGAATAACGAAATGCTACTTCCTGACCACTTACGTCTTTTCTGTAGGGCGCTTCGAGCATCGCCTCAACGTCGAAGTCCTCCGCCATGATTGAATCAACAAACGCGATTGGACTGCGGACTTGTTTATGGGCTCACAACTTCGAATCCAGGTTTGGAAATGTAGCAAATGTTGTATCTGTGCCACGGGGTATCGATGTAGTAATTGAAAACACTCTGCGAAGCAAATATTTTGGTAAAATAACGAGAAAGTCGGTCGCCTTTTACACAATAATCCGCAACGAATGCGTTTGGCAAACTGACCGGCCTGCGCAGGCGTCAGAAACAGTAACATGACAACAGTGTTGCCAACAGCAAAACTCACTAAACTCTAAATATACAAGGCGTTCAACTAAATTTTGAACTTAATATATACAAACAACATACAATCTTATTTTGCGAAACATAAATTTATGGAAAAGTATTCGTTTATTTTCAGATATATGAAATTATTAAATTATAGGAATAAATAATGTACTGAATTACAAATTCATTGCTTCAATGCGCTCTTCGCGTCCAGCATAAGTAAAAGGATCCAAAAGAAAAACATTGTGAATGGGAACCTCTTTACCAGAAACAGCTTTGATAATTTCCTGCGCAATAACTCCACCGATAATGGAACAAATGGGAACTACTTCGCCAAAGAGTAAATTCAACACTTTGTCGTCCATCTTATCTGGATTCACCGAATAATAATGGAAAATCTTCTCTTTTATTTCTTTCAACTGTTGAATGTCATCATCTTTGGTGGAAATGTTTGGATCGCGATTGAATTTTTCACGAAACATGAGCATAACTGCAATTTACATACAAAATTACTATTAACAAATGGTAGAAATATAAAATTTTTACCCTGCATCAAATAAAAGTAGACATTTCGTCGTTTAGGCTTCAATGGAGTTTCGGGAAGAGTTAGAACATCGCCCAAATCCGGATAGGAAAGAGTAGCACTAACTTTTTTAGTTTCTGAAGTTGTGCTACCTCCATGTGTTCGTTTTTTACCAGATGTGAGTTGAATTCGGTCCCTAAAGATTGTAAAAACAATCAAAATACAAGTTTTGGTATAAATTTTCAATGAAAACTTACTCATAATACTGATGTTGTTGAAAATCAGCAAGAGTATACCCAAACATCCCAAAATTATCACCACAAATGAACTTTACATTATATTCTCTGCAAGCAGTTGAGATTTTAAGAATCTGTGACCTTTTGAGCCTAGTACCAGCCACAATAGTGAATTGTGCAAAATACTTAGCATCTTTGGAATCAATAGAAGCAGTTTCTGTGGAAATTTTCACCAGAGGATTTAAAGCTTGTGCTTTCAAAACCACTGATTCAGCAATCTATAAATATCAAAATTAATATTTTAATATTACTTTATAATAATTATTTTTATGATTAACCTTTTGATCAATTGAAGAATTTGATAATAAAAAGTTCTTCAATACTTCCTCTTCAGTTACAACTCCATCATCAAGAAGAGTAAGTGAGTTGATGCCAGAGAGCAAAATGTTCTTTGCTATTTCAGAGCCCAATCCTCGCACGTTAATCAGGAGAACATTCGCTGCTCTTAATCTAAAATAATTTCGTGTTTTAGTTCAAATCAAATTGTGAGAAACCATGATAAATTTTGAGGTTATTTTTACAACTAAAACATATTTCTTACTTTTCTTGAGATTCGATGCCCCATAATCGAATTTGTCTGTCGTACAACTCGGCCTCGTCCACAGATAATTTAGTGTCAGTCATTGTACAATGATTGAGCTTTAATTAAGTTTTAAGAGATTAATTCGAGGAGAAAATACCGGCGAACTGCTTTTGCTGGTGAAGGTTGCCGCCATTCAAATATACTGCGTGTTCGCTACTCTCTAACAAGAGGGTAAAATTTTAATCTTAAAAATACATAATAAAATCACGATGGCGGTTCCAAAACAAAAACAAAATTACGAATTTGTTTTTAAAACAAACAGAGGCTTGGTCATAACAATGATCAACCGCTTATTTCATTCAAGTGTTGCTTGTTTTAAATAAACTTCCGATGGCGGACAACGATTACGAACGTGAAGAAGCTGATTACGATGAAGAGGAGGCCGAAGAAGAGGACTTTGAGGAAACTGCTGAGCCCAATAATGAACAAGATTATATTGATATTATAACACCCGGGAAGGCTGGAGGAGGAGCACCGAAGAACAAACGTATTACAACAAAATATATAACAAAATATGAAATTGCGCGAGTTTTGGGAACGAGAGCTCTGCAACTCTCAATGTCTGCGCCGGTTATGATTGATATCGGAGAAGAAACTGATCCTCTTGCGATCGCCACCATGGAGTTACAAGAAAAGAAAATTCCGCTCATTATTCGCAGATATTTACCAGATCGTTCGTATGAGGATTGGCCAATAAATGAATTAAGTATTCTTAAAATCCAAGGTATCCACATATAAACTTACAAATATTTAAAGTAATTATCATTTTGTTCCAGCCCAAACGAAGAACGGCGTTGAAAAATACTGCTGTTTTTAGTAATTATTTCATTTTAAAATATAATCATTCTGTATATATGTAATGTTGACGCATGCGCAATAAACGTTATAAAGCAAGAGCAGTATTGTGAGCAGCATGTTTCATGCAACCCGCAATACACGCGCCAAAAACACGTTTTCTTTCGTTTTCATCAACAATAATAGTTAAATAGTTATAATTTATAACAAATTACCATCTCGAAACCACTCTTCTTGTTACTACCATGGCTGACGAAGAATATGATGGAGATGGAGATATCGGAGACGACTTTGAGGATGACGTTGAGGATGAAAACATTGAAGAATTAGAACAACCTGAAGAAGAGGGTGATAATATAGATATTCTACAACCTGGACAAGCTGGCGGCGGGGTGCCGAAAAACAAACGGATAACAACGAAATACATGACGAAATATGAACGCGCTCGGGTGCTGGGCACGCGTGCATTACAGATAGCAATGTGTGCACCAGTAATGGTAGAACTTGATGGTGAAACAGATCCACTACAAATTGCTATGAAGGAGTTAAAAGCCCGGAAAATTCCCATTATTATTCGACGATATCTACCAGATAACTCATATGAAGATTGGGGCATTGATGAACTTATTATTATAGACCATTAATTATACATACTATTTTTTTAAGAAATAAAAGAAATTTAGCTATAAATAGTCTATTATTTTGTGTCAATTGTGGTTATACTACTACCTACTTATTAGTATTTAGTATTTTTGCAGTGTATATAAGTATTAATACCGTTATCTTCACTTATATTTGAAAAATTATTTATTATTATCAATACTAGGTTATAGGCAACGTCGCACATAAAAAATGAAAGTATAATTAATGAACAAGTTTACCTTTGGACTGGGAGGGCAAGCTAGGCAAGTGAGTGACTTTCACCTAGGCTTAGTTTCTTGTTCCAGTCTGTTAATGTGCACACTATCATTTTAGTAAGCCTGTTGCATCTCTAAGTTGTCATGCCACCAAGTCAACTGTCTGCTTCGACAGCCACATCAGTCAGGTAAAACATAACTTCCTGCCCATCAATCTACATTTCGTTAAATTCAAAGTAAATCAAACTCTTTGTTGCCATAACTTGTGTGTTGTAATTCATGGTTTTGTGAGTGTAGACACCAAGAGGTTGCTGATATTCAAGCTAACATGTATTCCAACATATTGAAATTGATTGCACAGAACAAGGTAAGAAAAGTTCAATTGTTTAAACTTTTTCTACTTTTGTTATGCCTTAGGTCTCACCGCGAGTTGTTCTAACAACGAATAATGTCCTCGCAAAACGTACTCCCGTTTTCCCCGTTTATTCAAAAGAATACTCATCAAATCAACTCAAAGATTTGGCGAAACAGCCGGTCCCAAAGTTGGCAGATACATTGGAAAGGTTCCTTGACACATGTAAACCACTACTGACACCGCAGGAGCTGAAGGAGACCGCTAAACACGCGCAGAACTTTGCTATCCAGGATGGACAGGCATGTAAAATGCAGTGTTTACTTCTGGAGAGAGCGAAGAAATGCGAAAATTGGCTTGCTGATTGGTGGCTCCAGGCTGCTTACCTAGACTATAGAAACTCGGTGATTGGATGGTCCAGTCCCGGTACGCCATTCGCTTATCAAAAGTTTAAATGTGATGAGGAATGGATAAAATATTCCGCGAATGTTGTTCTCGGTGCTTTGGCATTCAAGAAAAAGATTGACAAGTATGAATCTACAATTAGGTCCTTTTGATAATAATTTAAAATTAACTTTTTAATTTAGTGGTGAAATCAAGCAAGAAATGATGGGTAAAATGCCTTTAGACATGCAGCAATATCATAAAGTATTGGGAACATGCCGAATTCCCGGCGAGAAGAGCGATTGTCTTCAATACAACACCGATAGCAAACATATTGTTGTCGTGTGCAATAATCATGTAAGTTATTTCACATAAAATCGTCACAACACAAACTATTTAACATTCTCCCTTGGTTAGTTCTACAAAATTGATGTCTACGACGATTGTAAATGCCCAATCAGTCAAAAACAATTGATTGAACAACTCACATCCATCGTTAAGTATTCCACGGAACCTGCACCAGGAGTTGGTATTTTGTCAGGCACACATAGAGATACCTGGGGTAAAAATTACAAAGCTTTGTTTGCTGCTGCACAGTGCAACGAGGCGTGCATTCGTTACATTCAGAGATCGCTGTTTTTACTCTGCCTGGATACTCCGATAAAAGAGTTGGGGGATGAGAACAAACTCACTATTAGTGGTATGCAAACAATCCATGGTGGTGGCAGCAAGTATAATTCTTGCAATAGATGGTTTGATAAATGCATTCAGGTAATTATAACTCTAATATTAAATAAATTTTATCAATTAAGTGACATTTTCTTATTTTTATAGTTTGTTGTAAGTTCCGATGGTCATAATGGAATTACTTATGAACATTCACCAGCTGAAGGTGGTCCTGTCACCACCATGGGTGATTTTATCCAAGATTATATCGCAAATTCTGAAGGCGACAAAACAAAAGACGCAGCCTTAAAAGATCCGGTACCGCGTACACTCGTCTTCAAATTAAATGAGCAACTTTGCAAGAGCATCGACAAAGCAAAGGAGGAAGTCGATAAGTAATTAAATTAACTAACAAATAAACTTTGCCTATTTTAAAATGTTAAATTGATAGATTCATCGCAGATTTCGACGTCAAAGTGTATAAATTCGATGAATATGGAAAAGAATTCATCAAGGCGCAGAAACTCAGTCCAGACAGTTACATTCAGGTGGCTTTCCAGTTGGCATATTATAGGTACAATAAAATACTATAAAGTTAGCTTTTAAACTAGGTTATGTTTGTGTTATGTAGGTTGCATAACGAACCTGCACCAACCTATGAATCAGCAGCTATGCGCCATTTTATTCACGGCAGAACAGAAACTATTCGTTCCTGCACATGCGCAGCTGTTGCCTTCGCGGAAGCTATGTGTGATGAAGCTTCCGACGATGCGACCAGAGTTCAGAAATTGAAACTCGCTGTCAACGCACACAAAGATTACGTGAAAGCCGTAAGTTAATATTAATACCAGTTAAAAAACATAAAATATCCCCTAAACTACTTGTATCTCAACAGGTTTTGGCCGGTAATGGCGTCGATCGACACTTGCTGGGATTGAAACTGCAAGCACTCGAAAAGAACATCAAACCGCATGAGTTTTTCAAAAGTGTTGGATATGTCCGCTCGTCTAGTTTCAAGTTGTCTACCAGTCAAGTACCGACAAAACACGAAGGTTTCATGGGTTACGGCCCATCCGATCCGGATGGTTACGGCATTTGCTATAATCCACGCCCGGATGATATAATTATGTCAGTCGCTTCTTTTAAATGCTCTAAAATTGCCTCCACTGAAGATATGGTCAAAAGTCTGAAAGACGCGTTCGTCGACATGCAAGACTTGCTTTGCAAGACCAACAAATCAAAATTGTAACGCTGCTGAGCAAGTCGTTTATACTTTTATCATGACTAAATTTTATGCAACACAATTGTAACAAAGAATGCAATAAAATTGTTATATAAAACCAAGTTAAAATTACATTTGTGTACTGTATAATTTAATGGGTTAAGAGAGAGCTAAACTCTTTTACTGTCTGCCAACACCCTGACAATACACCCCACCCCACTTACATTGTAGACTTTCTCATGCCACAGCAGCAAGTGACCACTGCTTCCTTCTGAGGGCTGCTCAAATCCTTTGTAGATGTACTTCATCAGCACATCAATCAGTTCAATGTTCAATGATTTGATTGCTTCATCAATTTGTGATGCCTTGATTGCAATGAGCACTTTCATTGTGATATTTAAGGCTTGTTCCTGAGAATCATTTGTTTTGTTATAATAAATTAACTTTATAAATGACTAAAACTTACTCTAACATGGTCCTTTTTGGATCCTAGTGGTGCATTCATTAATACTGACTTTAAGGCATCAATTTGTTGACCTGTGTTGAAAATGTTAAGGAAATATCACCTTATCCAAGTGTTTGTGACTTAAATATTTTATTGTTAGTGTTGTAAAAGGATATTTATTGAGAAGATTTAGTATTTCATTCTCATCAGGGCCTGTGGGTCCACCCAAATCAGTTTCATCCTCTTTGAAATTGTCCTCGCAGTATTGGTCGACGTCAATTTTACGAAACGCCGAACTGGAGGTGTTCTTTGCCATATTTTCACAGTTATCTTATAATATTTACAGTATCAGACTATCAACTACGCCCAAAACCGAAAGTTTTGTTATGTTTTTCAATGACTAATTTGCCAAACTTGACTAACCCACTCGGCAATCTGAGGTTAAGTAATGTATGTTGCATACCATATCTTAAAATTTACAAGTTAGCAGTAGTGGTAATAAGCAGCGACATCTAAAGGCTGCCGCTAGTTTTGTTTAACTTGTTTACTTTAACACTTAGACAAATTATTACAAGTAAATATTCTGAAATTACAATGGCTTTGTTGTATTTATTACATTTTGTACATGTTAAATTTGATTTAACACTTAAAAGAAGTAAGTTTCAATTGATTTTTTGTAATTGTAAAAATAAATGGCATACAAACCAGTCACACCAGTTTTTGTTGTTTTATTTAATTATTTTAGCTCATATATTCCTTGTTGAGAGCTTTACCAATCAGCATTCTACGTACTTCCGACGTGCCAGCACCGATTTCGTACAATTTAGCGTCACGCATTAATCGCCCAGTAGCATAATCATTAATATAACCATTTCCGCCTTTTAAAACCGAACAAATTCAATCATATGGCCATTAAGTTATCATATTTTCTTTACCTAGGATCTGAATAGCATCTAAAGCAACCTGAGTAGCTTTCTCAGCTGCATATAATATCACACCGGCGCAGTCTTTGCTATTAACTTTGCCTTTATCTGCAGCTCTCGCAACACCGTAGACATAACTCCTGCATGCTCCTAGAGTAGTGTACATGTCGGCCATTTTGCCCTACATACATTACCAAATTTAGAAATAAATAAAAAAGTAATAAAAATAACAATAAACCTGTAATAGTTGGAATGTACCGATTGGCATGCCGAATTGTTTACGCTCATGCGCATAGTTGAAGGCAACATCACACGCCGCTTGCATAATACCAAGCGAGCCAGCAGAAAGGACCAACCGTTCCAAGTCCAAACCAGACATTAACACGTAGACACCTTTATTATAATTCCCTAGCATATTTGCAGCAGGAACTTTGCAATTGTCAAAAACAAGTTCGCATGTATTTGAACCACGCATTCCTAGAAAATTATAAAATTAATAACTCTCAAATGAAAACAAAATGATGGACACTATTTTACCAAGTTTATCTAGTTTTTGAGCGGTGGAAAAGCCTTCGAAACCTTTCTCGATAATAAATGCGGTGATGCCGTGTTGGTGTTTATCCATCTCCGTTTTCGCATAAACCTACAATAATTATTGTCGTAAGAATAAATTTATAAAGAAAAGTATGATAAACATACAACTAAAACATCAGCATCCGGTCCATTGGTAATCCAGAACTTATTACCATTGAAAATATAGTAATCTCCTTTTTTCTCTGCACGTAAACGCATTGAAACAACATCCGATCCTGATCCTGGTTCGGACATTGCAAGTGCACCCATGTGTTCACCCGTACATAGCTTAAACCATAAATTATATTAATAAACTTAAACTTTAGAATTAGTTATTAGTAATTTACAATGCTATAAACGTATTTTTACTGTTTTTCTATCGCAAATTGGTAATTTTGCAAGTAAAAAATGTTTTATAATGATAATTAAAATGATTTTATTAGGAATAATTAAATTGATAATATATATTTATACCTTTGGTAGATATTTCATTTTCTGTTCCTCACTGCCATTACGATTTATTTGATTGACGCATAGATTAGAATGCGCGCCGTAACTAAGCGCAATTGCCGAGCAAGCCCTTGACAACTCCTCCATGATAATACAATGATCGAGATACTGTCCATCGGAACCACCGTACTTTGAATTAATCGTAATACCCAACGTTCCTAAACTTCCCAACTTCTTCCAGAACTCGCGCAAACCGGAAAAGTTATTTAGCCTGTCGATTTCTTGCGCATGCGGAGCCAATTCTTTTTGAGCGAAATTGAAAACCGATTCTCGTAACTAAAGCAATATTAGTTTAATAAAAATTGAGTTGCAATTAATTAAGTAGTTGTAACCTGTTTTTGTTCATCAGTTAGACCAAAAATATCATCGTCAATGGGATAATGTGATAAAGATTTCACCGCAGTCAGCTGCGGTTGGAAAACATTTCGGAAGATCTTGCTTGTCACACGGAGCGCCATCGTTTCGTTGTTATCGACCACAAGTTATGAAACAAACTGAAAGTTGTCGTACGACTACGAGCGCATGGTATAACTTAAATAAAGTTGAAGTATTCATGTGTATTCATGACCGCGCTGAACTGCGTTATGTTTGGTGTGATATATAAATTGTGTGGCCTTGATGCAAAGTGTTGATGTTACGCATGCGGTATCTATTTAAGTAACCACATGTTGGCAACCCAACATACATTAAAACATCAAAGTATATAAACACCCGCCAACCACGGTCGCTGTTAGGTGACTGATGAATTGAAGACCTGAAGAGGCAGAGGAGAGGAACTGAGCGCGTAGTGTACTGTGCGCTGCCTTTTCATATCAGCGGGCTACCCGCAAAAAGTGGTGGGGAAGGTCGGCGAGTCGTGGTTGGCGCGTCAGGCATCTTCTCTTCCCACTTGGGTCGCTCATAGGGGATATCCACCCTCACTTCTACCACTTTCTACCACTTCGCTACATCGTACATTCCTTCCAATCACTCTCAAAGAAAAGCACAGATAAGTCATAAATGTGGGAAATGATTTTCATTTATAAAAACATAACATTCTATACCTAATCAAGTCTATTGACAATAATGATTCAACGTCAACCGGGCCGTGATATTCATCGCTTGCAACTCAGTCAACAAAAGTTTACAAGCGTACGGCATTGTTATAGTAGACACTTGACCAGAACTCTTGCAACTGTTACACCAGCCGCAGTATCCCAATCGTCCGCATTGATTACAAACGTCCACTTCGCACTGGTCACTGGACACCATCAATCTCTCCACCAACATCATGCTAGCACCATAGCCAATCAAACAATCACGTTCCATCTCACCCAAACGCAGGCCACCATCACGACTTCTACCTTCAGTTGGCTGGCGGGTTAGCACCGCTCTTGGTCCACGTGCCCTAAATATTACAACAAAATATTAACAAAAACCAAATAAAAACAAATAAAACAATAAAACTAACCTGGCATGCATTTTATCTTGTACCATATGCTTCAACTTTTGATAATATACAGGTCCTGAATAAATATATGCTTCTAAAGGTTCCCCTGTAATCCCCGAAGTGAAAAAATCCTTCCCTTGGTAATTAAACCCATGTTTAACTAATTCTTCACTCACATCAGCTACTTTCGATCCTCCAAACGCCGTTCCATAATGAAATTTACCTTCAACCAAGCCAGCTTTACCAGAGAGCAACTCAATCAACTTCCCAACCGTCATCCGGGACGGATATCCATGCGGGTTCATAATAATATCAGGACATATACCATAATCATTAAATGGCATGTCTTCCTGCTCCACCACTAACCCAACAACACCTTTCTGTCCATGACGAGAACTAAACTTATCCCCAATCTCAGGTCTTCGTGTTTGTCTTAACAAAATTTTAATCAAACCAGAATCCTCCTCATTTGTGGAAACCATAACTTTCTCTACATAACTCGACTCTGGATTTTTATACGAAATAGGAACTTCTCTATAAGTAGCATTACTCGCCGCCGTTCCAGGAGTAGGTACAGAAGGAACAGTCGGCACAGACTTATTAATCAACACCTGTCGATTCTCGACAAGTTCCCCGGGAGCAACAATCCCGTCGGAATCAAGCACATTATGCTTCCAAATTGGTTTGTTATTCGTGGTATCGATAAGTGGGCCTTGAATTCTATCAAAAGTTTGATTCGCATAGCGTTTCATAATGCATTTTGTGTTTTTATAGACTAAACAACGCCCAAAACCACGATCCAATGAAGCTTTGTTCACAATCAACGCGTCTTCAATATCATAACCGCTGTAACTCATCACAGCAATCGTAGCGTTTTGTCCAGCTGGGAGTTTATCAAAATTAGTCAGTTCAATGGTTTTAGTTTTCACCATTGGTGCTTGCGGATATACTAAATTATAAAGTAAAGTATCCATGCGATTCTTTTGATTGTAACCAATGGTTCCCATCGCTTGCTTACCCATAGCACATTGATAAGTATTCCTAGGTGATTGATTGTGATGAGGGTAGGGGACAAGTCCTGCGCATACACCTAAGAGTGTAAACGTCGCGATTTCAAGGTGGGTGGTTTGTGGGTCTATATCCGCTTCGTAGCAGGCGATAAAACTGTCATTTTCTTCATTTACATCAAGAAATTCAATGAGGCCGTCATGTAAGAAATCTTCAAAGTTTCGAATGCCTTGTTCTAATTCTTTGATGTGATTTTGTTTTACTAATGGCTGTCCTTTTACGACTATAATGTAAGGTCTGCAAAGCCGGCCACCATCACTACTTATATAAACGCATCGATGTAGGTGATTGGGATAGATTGAAACATAGCCGGATATCAATCCATTGCGTCGCATTAGTCTGAACATATCGATAAGATGGCGGTAGTTTTTGATTACACCGATGATGTTACCGTTGAGAAACACGAGGTATACTTTCGGATTGTTTATGAATTCGCCTCCGACTGTGTTTATATCGAGTACGCCGGTGTTGTTCGCTAGGCGAATAAGTGGGTATTCATCGCCTTCGGTTGTTATGTGAGTCATTAATGCTAAATTTTTAACAAGACCGCAAGCCTATTAAAAATATTCTAATTTTAGAGAAAATCGTCATTTTTTTGTGCTTTGCGCATGTGTATTGCGATTAACTTTAATTACTTACTTCACCTTCAGGAGTATCACTTGGACAAAGCATCCCCCATTGACTTGGCTGTAAAGATCGAGGACCTGACACTTTCCTAGTTTTCTCAAACTGAGAATTGACGCGGGTCATCATTCCCAATGCAGAGATGTAACTTAAACGGGAGAGAACTTGCGTTACGCCTTGTCGTTCCATTCTGAAACGTTTGATGGTCCAATTTCCCTGTATTAAATAAAAATAACTTACAAATTTAAATTTCTAACTTTTCTTTTTGACTGATAAAAACTTACAGTTGAAATTGCAAAAACCAAACAATTGGTAATAAGTTCCGATCGCATGTATTTGATAACATCAAATTGCGTCGCGCGTATCTTCGGAATCGTCTTCTCCGCAATCGCCTTCAGATCAAAGTTGAATCGTTTGAAAACGTCCTCAAACATCAACGCAAGCAACCATCCTGCGAGTTCCAAACGTTTATTACCGTAGTAATCTTTGTCATCGAGAAGAGTTCTGTCTGTTTGTGCTTCTATAACTCGTTTTAACTTAAAAGAAACATAAAAACAAATTTAGTATTTTTACAGTAATTTCTATAAAATAAAACATTATTATTACCATTAATGCAAGATAAATAGCTTTGCATTTGAAATTAAACTCAGAAACAGGCACATGTGCCAAAACAGTCGTTGCTAGTAATTCTCTAGCTTCATCAACTGGTGTTTTTACTTTACTTGCTGAAGTTACATATCGTTTGACGACAATCTTCGATGCTAGATATTTCAATGCGGCCTCCTGTGAGTAGACTCGATGAACATGGCATTCTTCAAGTGTCGGTGTGATTTTTCGCACGTCAGGAACACCGATAATTTGACAGATTTCTTGATCACTTGTTATGCCCATTGCTTTGAAGACAATTGAAATAGGAATAGGCTACAATTAACCCAAATAAAATATTAAACTTAATTTACTTTTCTAATGAATCAGTTTATACTTACATCAGTAAATGTATTATGCCCCATATAATATTTATTCCCCTTGCCAAACACAAGTGTTCTTGTCTTCTTCTCATGAGTTGAACTTGTAACTTGGCATCTTGCTTGTCACACGGAGCGCCATCGTTTCGTTGTTATCGACCACAAGTTATGAAACAAACTGAAAGTTGTCGTACGACTACGAGCGCATGGTATAACTTAAATAAAGTTGAAGTATTCATGTGTATTCATGACCGCGCTGAACTGCGTTATGTTTGGTGTGATATATAAATTGTGTGGCCTTGATGCAAAGTGTTGATGTTACGCATGCGGTATCTATTTAAGTAACCACATGTTGGCAACCCAACATACATTAAAACATCAAAGTATATAAACACCCGCCAACCACGGTCGCTGTTAGGTGACTGATGAATTGAAGACCTGAAGAGGCAGAGGAGAGGAACTGAGCGCGTAGTGTACTGTGCGCTGCCTTTTCATATCAGCGGGCTACCCGCAAAAGTGGTGGGGAAGGTCGGCGAGTCGTGGTTGGCGCGTCAGGCATCTTCTCTTCCCACTTGGGTCGCTCATAGGGGATATCCACCCTCACTTCTACCACTTTCTACCACTTCGCTACATCGTACATTCCTTCCAATCACTCTCAAAGAAAAGCACAGATAAGTCATAAATGTGGGAAATGATTTTCATTTATAAAAACATAACATGATATACCTAATCAAGTCTATTGACAATAATGATTCAAAGTCAACCGGGCTGTGATATTCATTGCCTGCAACTCAGTCAACAAAAGTTTACAAGCGTACGGCATTGTAATAGTAGACACTTGACCAGAACTCTTGCAACTGTTACACCAGCCGCAGTATCCCAATCGCCCGCATTGATTACAAACGTCCACTTCGCACTGGTCACTGGATACCATCAATCTCTCCACCAACATCATGCTAGCACCATAGCCAATCAAACAATCCCGCTCCATCTCACCCAAACGCAGGCCACCATCACGACTTCTACCTTCAGTTGGCTGGCGGGTTAGCACCGCTCTTGGTCCTCGTGCCCTAAATTCCACAACAAAATATTAACAAAAACTATATAAAAACAAATAAAACAATAGAACTAACCTGGCATGCATTTTATCTTGTACCATATGCTTCAACTTCTGATAGTATACAGGTCCTGAATAAATATATGCTTCTAAAGGTTCTCCTGTAATCCCCGAAGTGAAAAAATCCTTCCCTTGGTAATTAAACCCGTGTTTAACTAATTCTTCACTCACATCAGCCACTTTCGACCCTCCAAACGCAGTCCCATAATGAAATTTACCCTCAACCAAACCAGCTTTACCAGAGAGCAACTCAATCAACTTCCCAACTGTCATCCGAGACGGATAACCATGCGGGTTCATAATAATATCAGGACATATACCATAATCATTAAACGGCATGTCTTCCTGCTCCACCACTAACCCTACCACACCTTTCTGTCCATGACGAGAACTGAACTTATCTCCAATCTCAGGTCTTCGCGTCTGCCTCAACAGAATTTTAATCAAACCAGAATCCTCTTCATTTGTGGAAACCATAACTTTCTCCACATAACTCGACTCTGGATTTTTGTAAGAAATAGGAACTTCTCTATAAGTAGCATTACTCGCCGCCGTTCCAGGAGTAGGTACCGAAGGTACAGTCGGCACAGATTTATTAATCAATACCTGTCGATTCTCGACAAGTTCACCCGGTGCAACAATCCCGTCGGAATCAAGCACTTTATGTTTCCAAATTGGTTTGTTATTCGTGGTATCAATGAGTGGACCTTGAATTCTATCAAAAGTTTGATTCGCATAGCGTTTCATGATACACTTAGTGTTTTTGTAGACTAAGCAACGTCCAAAACCACGATCCAAAGAAGCTTTGTTCACAATCAACGCGTCTTCAATATCATAACCGCTGTAACTCATCACAGCAATAGTAGCGTTTTGTCCAGCTGGGAGTTTATCAAAATTAGTCAGTTCAATGGTTTTAGTTTTCACCATTGGTGCTTGCGGATATACTAAATTATAAAGTAAAGTATCCATGCGATTCTTTTGATTGTAACCAATGGTTCCCATCGCTTGCTTACCCATAGCACATTGATAAGTATTCCTAGGTGATTGATTGTGATGCGGGTAGGGGACAAGTCCAGCGCATACACCTAGGAGTGTAAACGTCGCGATTTCAAGGTGGGTGGTTTGTGGGTCTATATCCGACTCGTAGCAGGCGATAAAACTGTCGTTTTCTTCATTTACATCAAGAAATTCAATGAGGCCGTCGTGTAGGAAATCTTCAAAGTTTCGAATGCCTTGTTCTAATTCTTTGATGTGACTTTGTTTCACCAACGGTTGACCTTTTACGACTATAATGTAAGGTCTGCAAAGTCTGCCGCCATCGCTACTTATATAAACGCAGCGATGTAGATGATTAGGATAGATTGAAACATAGCCGGATATTAATCCATTGCGTCGCATTAGTCTGAACATATCGATAAGATGGCGGTAGTTTTTGATTACACCGATGATGTTACCATTGAGAAATACGAGGTATACTTTTGGGTTGTTTATGAATTCGCCTCCGACTGTATTTATATCGAGAACGCCGGTGTTGTTCGCTAGGCGGATAAGTGGATATTCATCGCCTTCAGTTGTTATATGAGTCATTAATGCTAAATTTTTTGACAAGACCGCAAGCCTATTAAAAATATTGTAATTTAAGAGAAAATAGTCATTTTTTTTAGTGTTGAACGCATGCGTATTACGATTGACTTTAATTATACTTACTTCACCTTCAGGTGTATCACTTGGGCAAAGCATCCCCCATTGACTGGGCTGTAAAGATCGTGGACCTGACACTTTCCTAGTTTTCTCAAACTGAGAATTGACGCGAGTCATCATCCCCAAAGCAGAGATGTAACTTAAACGTGAGAGAACTTGCGTTACGCCTTGTCGTTCCATTCTGAAACGTTTGATGGTCCAATTTCCCTGTATTAAATCAAAATAATTGAATTATAATGATTATCTTTTGATTAATCAAAAACTTACAGTTGAAATAGCAAAAACCAAACAATTGGTAATAAGTTCTGATCGCATGTATTTGATAACATCAAATTGCGTCGCGCGAATCTTCGGAATCGTCTTCTCCGCAATCGCCTTCAGATCAAAGTTGAATCGTTTGAAGACATCTTCAAACATCAGCGCAAGCAGCCATCCTGCAAGTTCCAAACGTTTATTACCGTAGTAATCTTTGTCATCAAGCAGAGTCCTATCTGTTTGTGCTTCTATTACTCGCTTTAGCTTAAAATAAAAATAAAAACAAATTTAGTATTTTTAAAGTAATTTTTGAAAAATAAAATAAATATTTTACCATTAATGCAAGATAAATAGCCTTGCATTTGAAATTAAACTCCGAAACAGGCACGTGTGCCAAAACAGTCGTTGCTAGTAATTCTCTAGCTTCATCCACTGGTGTTTTTACTTTACTTGCTGAAGTTACATATCGTTTGACGACAATCTTCGATGCTAAATATTTCAACGCGGCTTCTTGTGAGTAGACTCGATGAACGTGGCATTCTTCAAGTGTCGGTGTGATTTTTCGCACGTCAGGGACACCGATGATTTGGCAGATTTCTTGATCGCTTGTTATGCCCATTGCTTTGAAAACAATTGAAATTGGAATAGGCTACAATCAACCCAAATAAAATATTAAACTTAATTTACTTTTATATTGTGTAAGTTTATACTTACATCTGTAAAAGTATTATGTCCCATATAATATTTATTCCCCTTGCCAAACACAAGTGTTCTTGTCTTCTTCTCATGAGTTGAACTTGTAACTTGGCACTGAATGCCATACTTTCCCTCCTCAACAATAATCCTATTCTTTGAGAGCTGTTCTTGAATCAAAATAACTTTTTCCTGTCCTTTGACAACAAAATATCCTCCTGGATCCAATGGACATTCATTCATCTTAGCTAATTCATACTCAGATTTGTTGTCAAGAACACAGTTTGAAGATCTCAGCATTATAGGCATTCTTAAACAAACAAACATTAATGTTAATAGAATAATTATATAAATATTTAATTCTATACTAACCTGCCTATTAGTAATCCACTTCTAGAAACTCTCTGATTTCCCCTAGTGTATTCAATATCAACTGTAATAGGAGCTGAATAAGTCATATCTCTCAGTCTGCACTCATGTGGAGTTGTTGGTTTTGTAATGTTGAAACCCTCATCAACATCAGGTGTCCCAACATAAACATTGGTGTACTTGATGTAAAATAATGGATCTGCATCACATGTAACTTTATCATTTGCTTCCACTATTTTCTTGATTTCTACATTGATGAAGTAGTTAAATGAGTCTATGTGTTGTTTGACTAAACCTTTTACTTTGAGGAAAGCTGGTACTAGTTTCCATTTTTCCTGTGTATTAATTAATATTAAATTGAATTAAATAAAATGTTAAATATTTATACCTCAATTTCTTTGATTGGTTTGTTATAGTCTTGTGAATCGCCGAAAAGAGCACCAATTACGTTTGTATCCGATGTTGCACCCGAGTATTCACCCATTTTTATTTCCTTATGTATAAATTTTGGGGTGTAAATAGTTTTATAAAGTAAATAAAACTTTTCACACCATTCGCATTCTTCGCATGTTTATAACATGTTTATAATTTAAGGTTAGAATGGAACTGAAGAAGTGTTTTATTAAAATAAAATAAGTAATACATAACATTAAAATCTTATAGCAATTAATAAAACATTAGTATCATATTAAATAAAAATTTAACTAAAAATTGCCGAAATCACATCTATAAAAGTAACAAATTTTAAACCAATAGTTACTTTCAAGTTGGCAGCACTGGAAATTACTATATTCAAGATTGGTACATACTGAACTAAGTTTAAATCTGTTTTAAGAGAACTAAAAACACATGGGATATGTCAAATTTACACAAATCTCATCACATGTTTCCAAATAACATAATAATTCTATATAATTTATATTAACAAATTTAAATCAACGTTTAATGTTTGTAATATTTAGGAGGATTGACATCACCAAAGTTTTATCCCCTCCTTGGAAATCTCATTCATTCATTTACACATGAGCGATGAACACAAACGTCACTCGCGTCAGTCCAGTTTGTGATTATCAACAACGTCGGATGTAGGCGTGTGAGTAGCCGCGAAGTAGTGCATTCGGTGTAAGCGACTCATATGTCGTAACATGATTAACTTGTCGTGATCGAACTGCCCGCAATAATCCTCGTAATTATTGCCTTTGCAGTATCGTGGCGTGCTCAAACAAGTGCGCGCAATCATTTCGCCAGCCCGACGCCAATCGCTCCGCGCAAGAAAAATGAGAAAATGTACATCACACGACGCGTGACGATAATGTGCACCAGGGCCCACTGCAACAATTTTGTTTATGACTGGACATAATCCCCTCGCCGTAGGAAACTAACTCATCATCACACCAATTTACACCACCATATTTCTACAACCAACTCTACCAGTTTATTCATTTCTGCATCACACCTCCACCCAATATTGTTTACTTTTACAACTCGAAATTTGCGTGAGTCACACGAGCAGCAAACGCATCACACAGGTTGTAACCGTGTAACACGCGTTAGGGTGAAAATGACCAAGAGGCAAATCACAAGAAAATGGGAAATGTTCGCTGGACGGAACAGATTCTTCTGCGATGGCCGGTTGATGATCGCGCCCAACTCTAGCATCTTCGTTCTCACCGTTTTGCTAATTACAATCACCAGCACATTGTTTTTTATTTACGAGTAAGAGTATTACCCATACACCTAAAATACTAAAATAGAAATCATGTGCTAAAGTGATTAATTATCGTGTTTTAGTTGTGCGTATTTAGCGGTGAATGTCACTATTGCGATACCAATCATCGGCGCCTTGCTTTTCCTCTTTACCATGCTGTCGCTATTACGCACATCACTCACCGACCCCGGAATTATCCCGAGAGCGACACCCGATGAGGCCGCTTACGTAGAGAAACAAATCGGTATATATTAATTCACCTACACTAGTTTTGCGCTTTGTAAAACGGCTAAAACACATCATCGACGCTTTCAGAAGTAACAAATTCGGCGAATTCGCCGACGTATAGGCCTCCACCACGCACGAAAGAAGTGATCGTCAAGGGGCAGACGGTGAAGTTGAAGTACTGCTTCACGTGCAAGATTTTCCGACCGCCACGTGCCTCACACTGCAGTTTGTGTGATAATTGCGTTGATCGTTTCGATCATCACTGTCCTTGGGTAAGCAGACGTTTATTTTCATTTATTTACATTTTCACCTAAATCAATTATACCTAAAGTGTTCTCGTTGCTAAACTACGCACTGTAGAAATTATAATTTCTAATTTATGTTAATTTGTGAATTATAAGCGGTGTTTTCGTTTTTATTCCCATGATTTGAACGTTTTTTGATGATGAAACGCACAGGTTTCGTCGTGCTCGTTAATAAAACGCTTTGTTTTATTGTACCTCAATGTAACATTGCGATATCACTCGAAATTGTAAATTATATAAAAGTACAGCAACATATGCGCTGGTTTCATTAATCTTTGTCCGAGTTTTTAAATATAACTCCGTATAAGGACGAAATTTGTACAATTTGGTTTTTTATATTAATTTCCTCTTTATAGCGTTACAATTCCTCTGGGTAACGACGAAAAATATTTTTATTTCTAGAAATTATAATCTAGAATATTTTTCAAAGACATGACATTAATAGAAACATTTGAAATATTGTTGTAATTATGATCCCAACATCCCTACAAATTGCAATGCAAATTTCTATAACTTAAGCACGATTTTTCAGCTAATTTGTTGGGGTGCACGTTGCGTTACAACAAAATCATTTAAACATAACACAAGTGAATACAACTGAGCGACGCGGAATTCATATTTAGACTTCAGGAAATATTTACCGGCATTTTTACTAGAGTAATTGAGTTTATAATCAGCTTACAAATGATTAGACAGATGCCGGTCGCCGTAAAATCCCAATATTTGGTTATTTTTTGTTCCTGGATGTAACGTCACCTCGTTATAATGTGATAAAATCTACACTGTGGATTTAACTGCTTCTTCATTTATTTATTTGACAAGATAAATGTTTAGTTAATGCGTTGGGTTAATATACATCTGAAGACTTTGATTGATATTTACTTAACATGTTGATGGATGTTTACCGTCTACTGCTAAACACGTAAACGAATAATGATGTTTTAATTGTTTGTATTTCACAGTTTGACGTACATTTCACGTTCAAAATTACTTAGTTTGATTATTTTCTGGGAGCAGCTCGTTGTGCGATATTGATATCGCGCGGATGTGTTTCGCCGATTGTGGCGTGTTGATAAAAATAGCTGTCGAATGTTATCAATAAAACGTGAGCTGTGATTTTCTTCTCATGTCGAAATTACATTCAGAGCAGATGTGTGCATGTGTTGATTGGGAAATTGAAAAATTTCTGGGAACTTGAGCAAATATTCAAAGAAAAATCATCTTCACGTATATTTGGATGATTAAACATCCTAGGAAATTATTAATTAATCACGCGTGTGTAGAATATGTGTGAAAATAAATAAATTTGATTAAAAATTAGGAAAATCTCACGAAATATGAAATTATGTTAATAAAAATCGATTTTTTTGTCAATAAGCAATAAGCAGAATACCAAAAACCACAAAATAAATATAATTTCGACTTCCCAAGACAATTTATAGTTTAATTGTAAATTAAACTTGCATTTTCAAGCAAATTAACCAATTTGTAACACAATTGCATTACTACATGACGAAATAATTACATTTCTCGAGGATAAATGATGTTAAAAGCTTCATATTGTAAAAAAACCTCACCAATAACATGTTATTGACAGTTCAACGTTAAAAATCATGTCTACTAACTCAGAATTATATTCCATGTGATATTTTAATTATTACCAATGTAAAACGCGTCTTTTTTGTGTTTGTTTGCGATGACTGGCCAGATTGATGAAAGCAACGGTGGCGTAATGCTATAATTAGTATCTGCACTTCAAACTACATTCTCGAGAATAAGGTTACTCAAAATATATTAAATAGAGCTGATCGGAAATAAATAAATAGGACAAGGTCGAGAAAATGTTTTTATGAAATCATATTTACGCTTGAATTCAGTAAAAAAAATAAATTACGCGGTTTATTATTCGATTTAACAAATGAAGAAGTGGAATTCGAAAAAATATCGTCTGTGTTATGATTCAAGGATTGTTATATTTAGACGTATGCGTAAAAAATATCAAACTGTTTGTGCATTCATTGGTGTGTGCAACGTTTTTGCGGTTTATTGCCATTGCCAATACTTGCCAAATATCTACAAATGATTTGAAATTATTTATTTAGTTAATTGTCATTATAACATGATAATAATTCTGTTTTACTTCTTAATCCGCAAGCACGAAAAAAGTTGTTTTTTAGGTGAAAGTTGAAACCGTTTTAGCGGTTCTTTATTTTTTTGTCATCACGTGTGTGGTTTATGTCACGATTATTTAAAAACTTTCCATTTTACACGCCTATTCGCGTAAATCTGCCGGCAGCTTAACTTTTCCCCGGCGGTCACACGCATTGAAATGATTGAAACTATGCGCGCCGCAGCACAATAATGAACTTGACACGTTAATTATGTTATTTGGCGTTGGCGTTAATTATGACGGATCGTGTTTTCGGCCCCGCTAATTGGTATTGTTTTGTCTCTCTGTTGCAGGTTGGTAATTGCGTCGGCCGAAGGAATTACCGCTTCTTCTACATGTTTATAGTCTCTTTAGCGTTTCTCGCCGTATTTATATTTGCTTGCGCAATAACTCATTTAATTCTAAGTAAGTACACAAAAAAAACTAAAAATATTATTCTGTTATCAATATTTCAACGGTAAAAAATGTTATCTATGATTTTTTGTGTTGAAAATCGTTAATTTTCGTTGTTTTTTGATTATAGTTAGTAAGGACGAGAGTGGTCAATTCCTGGAAGCCGTTAAAAAGTCACCGGCCAGTCTGATAGTAGCACTGATATGCTTCTTCAGTATCTGGAGTATTCTCGGCCTCGCCGGCTTCCACACATACCTCACAACCAGCAATCAAACCACAAACGAAGACATCAAGGGTTCATTCGCGTCGAAACGCGGCCAGGAGCCGTTCAATCCGTACTCGCAGGGCAATGTGTGTTTAAATTGCCTGCAAATCCTCTGCGGACCATTGGGTCCCTCTCTAATCGACAGGTATTTATAGATTCTAAAGCCACGCATGATATGTGATGTGATTTGAATAAAATGCAATTTCCAGGCGTGGAATTGTCACCGACGAGTACAAAGCCGAACTGTCCAAGCACCCTATCACCGAGCAAGTGCATTTACCCCAGAAAATGTACGGCCTGCCCATTGCGCCCGTTAGTATTGTGAGTATTTGTAAAGATAAACACAAGCGCGTGTGGTGTGACATGTTTTCTGTCTAATGTGTGCTTCAGAATAACGCGCCGCCGATAACAGCCGACATGCCGGGCGTGTACCGCCAGACGACGGAAAACACAGGTGCGTACTACAGTCATTATCCAACGCATCATAACACGCCCATAAAGAAGCCGGCGCCCAAGTCGCATCAAATCGTGCCGGTGCCGATGGTGCCCATGGCGCCGCCGCCGCCACAACCGCGCGCATACGCTGCTTATCCACCGGAACTCATGTATCCACGACAGCCGGTGCATAGTTCTTCGCTGCCGCAGTTGAAGCAGCAGCCGCCTGCGGCTCGCGATCGCTCCATGGATCAGATTTACAATCATCATAATCACTTTGATCGATATTACGACTGCGATCCGGGCGAACGCGCGTACACGCCGCCGGATAAACGCTACAGTGCGTCGTTTGGTATGCGACCGCCGCCTTCGCGCGGTGATTATTACGCTCCCCCGGTCGGGCGTCGGCCCCCGATGCGGCCGCACAGCGGGTTTGTTTATCAGAATGTGCACGCCGACGACGCCGTCTGCACGAATAGCGATTGTCCGAACAATCGCTTGCGCAACGAGCGCGGCGTTTACAACATCGCGAATGTTAATCATTTTCCCAAGCCCGAGTTTAGTCGGCTTTATATTCAAGACAATCTTGGATAACACACGGATGGCGACGTTATGTAAACAGATAAACACTACTCTTCCAAATGAAAACCACCCACAAAAACCAAACAAATTCAATATTATTACCTCGTATTGCTATACTATACAAGATACAAGATACAAAATACTAAAAATATAAATCTATATATTTAAAAGCAAAGATACTAAACAAATACGATTATAATTACTATTTCGGGACTTTCTAGTGTCTCAACTAGAAGTGCAGAGAGTTAAAAACAAAAATATAATCAAAGATTCTCAAATATTTAAAACAATAACGCGGTAAACTCGTGAAACGCGCGGTTTTCTAACTATTTTTTATCACTATCACTCTGATTCTATTGATCTCACTTCTCTCAACTCGTCTGCGACACATTACTCATGAAATTTCAGACTGAATTCGTGGAGGAAATGAATTTAATTAGCTCGACGTTTAAAATGATTAACACATTACATTCTGCTCATGATTCGTCGTCTTGTTAGACCTTATAAACAGATTTTGTTTTCTTTTTTGTTTGAATTGCATTGTACTCTCGCTGTGATGGAAGCGTTTTTGCGAAACAAAAATATTACTCGCGTTACGGTGTCGAAGCGGTAAGTGGCAAGTGGATATTGTGCACGTACAGAACACGGCTGCTCTCTTACTATTAATAATTCTGCTAATGAACGGCTTTTTATTCAAACTTTTATGTGTCTAGTCGTCTAGAGCTAGGTCTAGGACCTATAGGTGAATGCGTTTTGTTTTCATTTTAATAATTAATTTTGTTTCGCACAAAAAAAACGACGAATAGACGTGTGCACTCTACGCTTTTTTGATTCTTGCAATAATAGTCGATTTTAGTTTGTGTGGATGTTAATTTTATGATATTGATTGAAATATGCTAATTTCAGAGTCGAACGCTGGCAGTGTCACACAACTGGTGAACAACGAACAACCGCTGGCGATTGTCGCGATGTCAGAGGCCGCATCCAATCTAAAACCCACGCAGTACACCTCGCAGCCATGTCTGAATTCGGCGCCGGTGTACAGTAATGTCGCGAGTGAATTGACCAAGTCGCAGTCGCTGTCGCAGAACCTCGACGCGCACATTGACGTCGAGGATTTATATCTCGACCCGGTGGAGATGTCCGACGCGCTGGTGCATAACAACGCGCTCAACGCGACGGATAAACGCAAGCTGGAGAACAACGACCTCACGCCTAAAGATAAGGAGAACCTCCTGATGAGCGCCAACCGCATGCAGATGCTGCGCGAGACGACGATGATCGAGAGCGCGCTCGATCTGGATTGATCCGAACGGACCTCTTTTAGCGTTTTTATTTTGTATATGTTATATTAGTAGAGTTTTATTTAACTGCGCCCGAAGCAGACGGACACTTACGCATCATAGGAGTATTTATTTTTGTACGAAACTGGCAATATTTTTTTACATTTACGAATAATATTGGTTTCGTCGGCCGTTTCATGTGACTAGTTTTAAGCATCACACACACACACACAAATATCGTTCAATCATTTGTATAGATTTGTATTTAATACTTGTGAGTTTCTGAGATATGTTCGACTTTTGTAATGAGAATTTCTAAGACTTTTCCAACGCGAACGAATCAAAAGTTAACTAAGAGATGCCGGTTCAGAGGTGAATATCGTTCAATGCTTTACAATGTGATCTAACTTTAACTATACTTAAGTTAATGCGTATTCATTGATTGATGATAGACTTTTATATGTTTTTATTTCTAATGCGTCTTATTTTTGTATTAATACGAGAAATCGAAATATTCTATTATTGTTAAGAAGCGTCGAGTTAAATATTGAACTGAGGGATGAGGCATCACGAGGGTACGAGAAGTTATTGTTAATACGAAGATACAATTGAAATACGATGGCGAATGTTATCGTGGTTATAAATATATGTAAGTATGCGTTTACCTTGTGTATTATTTGCACCTTTTTCGCCTGGTATCACTTGTTGTTGTTGAAAAGAACTACGGAACACCTGAAATAAAACTATGTTAGCAATGTGCAGGAATGCAGACGCCATCTGGTGGTGGCAATGTGCAAATATACATAGACTAACACCACGTGATCATTCCTTGTCATTGTTGTTGTTTGGGACGAGAACCAAAATAAATCTGATTTTTTGTGCATAAACCACGTAAAATGTCGAACAAAAGCAGTACAACAATTGATGCGCGTACAGAATTAGCGGAGTTAGTGAAACGCAAAGCCGAAATAGCTGTAATGTTAAATGCTCCTCCAAAAAACAGCAAATTTTAATTATAACCTCAAAATTATAGGAAACATTGGCGAATTTAGAGCGACAAATCTATGCGTTCGAAGGCTCTTACCTGGAAGACACACAACTCTATGGCAATATTATCAGAGGTTGGGACAGATATCTCTCTAGCAATAAAACCACGAACTCCAAAGCAGATAAACGCAATAGAAAGTTCAAGGAAGCTGAAAGATTGTTCTCAAAGTCTTCCATTACTTCTATGGCAGTAAGAACACACTGACTTCTTGTGGTGTACAAACATTTATGAATTATGAATTGTTTCAGGCTGTTAGTGGTATAGTTGATACACAAGAAAAAACTGAGAGGCACAGTGACACTGAATCACAAACAAATGAAGATTCCAGTGATACCAACATGGCCCCACTTATCTCCAATCACATTGACTCAAACATAAAAACAGCTGGCAAACATTCAACTAATTCCAATACAAATGGTACACCCAATGGTCTGGATAGATCTAGTCCAGGAAGGGAAATGTCTGCAAAACAGAAAAACTTCAGTAGTAGCAATGCCAAGAAAAACAATAACAAAAAAGCTAGACATAGATAGAAAACTAACATGTTTCAATAGAATTAATTTTTAAACAATAATCAATAGGCTTCAATAGTGTGTGGTACCTTGTGTAATTTATGCTTTCAAATTCCTATGTTCACTTTCATAAATTACACCTGGTAATACATACATATTTACATAGTATTTATAACTTAAGGAATTAATGTATGTAAGTGCTAATTGTAAGCATAACAATAAAAGTATGACATGCATAAGTGTAAACCTAAACAACTTTGTGTCCATTTGTTGTAGAATGTATGGTTGTTTGAGCTTGTAGCTTCTTTTTCAAGTAGCGTTCGTGTCGGCGTTTCATTTCGAGGATCTCTTTCATTTCTTCCTTATCTTCATCCTAATTAAACAAAAAACATAATATTAATAACAGAAATCATAAATATTTTTGTTTTGAAGCTGTACTGTTTGATTAAGACGGAGAACCAGAGCTCGTGTGCCGTCTGACATTGGTTGGGAATAAACCATGAGTTGTTTGAGTCGTTCTGAAGGACTGACGCCTCTTTCAACAACCAAAACAATGCGCGCCCACTTAAATACAAATTATTAATGTTTTTATGTTGGATAAGTGTAGAATTAGATATTTACTTGTCTTTGCCATTCATTTCTTGTTTCTGCAATTTTCTGATAAGTGTTTCCCATCATGGCGATCAACATGTTGATCAAAAGTACGCCAACAATGACCATAAATATTACAAACATAATCTGAAATATAATATTTTAGTATTATTGTATTAGGCTGAGTAAAATTTACCTTTGCACCAACTTCATGCTCAGTTTTTGCTAAAGCATCATAATAATCTCCGAAATTCGTCATTGACATTAGAAACATCGCCATGATGGATTCCACGGGCGTAGACATTGGATTTGTATTCGAATCGTCGACTTCTTCAGGGTGTGAGTGGATTATCAAACGATAGGAAGATGATATAAAACGCTACAAACAAATTTTTATGAATATACGTCTTCAAAATAAGTTTTGAAAGTTTACCTTGTGAGAAACCCATAACAAACACTAAATAAATCGAAGCGAAACGAAGCAAGTCACCCATTACCATTCTGTATATCATTACGACGAAAGGACCTACTGTTTTAAATCCCCTGAAAACATAAATTTTTAATGTTGATTAATTTATTATGTTTGTTATTATTAGGTACTTGCCTACAGAAAAACAAAAAATATGGCGCCGTTGTTAACATTATAACTAGCGACATGATATCTTCATTTTCAGTCTGGCAAGAAAATCGTAACACTGGCATTATTAACGTCAAAATGCACGAAAATAAAAACATAACTCTTGAAGGCGCAGTCATCTACAAAAATTAAGATTTAAACTATTGTTACAAATGAATATATGAGTTATGATACCAAATTTTCATAAAACATGCGTCCACCTAAGAAACGAGCTTCTCTAAAAGCTGCACATAGATAAACAAAAGCACCAATGAGCATTCCAACTTCAGTTATCAAACGAATCTGTTGATCGGCTTGATCTACTGCCATTAATCTACATTCTTCACGTAAATTGTCCCACCATTCTTCCATATCATCTATGTCATCAATACTTCCTAAAATTCGCAAGTTTAAGAACAAATTTACATTTAATGTTATAATAGATTCATACCTATTGTAGTAAGTGTAATATTTGGAATTAAAATTAAAGTTTCATTGATTTTACTAAGAGTAAAGTTGCCATTTGTAGCATTTGTTGCGTTTTTAGCTTCAGTTGGTGTAGGCGGCCCAGGACGCAGAGTAAACGCAATCAATGAATTTATAAAATAAAACGTAAACATGAAGAACTGTCGATAGAATTTGTTTTTGACGAATGTATTCCATTTTGCATTTAGCAAATCAATAAGAACTCCGTCCATTAGTTCAAGATGTTCGTCTTTATCTCCAAAAACAACTAAATTCAAAGCGGACGTTCGACTTATATTGCCTGTTTCTGTATCAATTGTATCGATTTGATTCAACGGGTACGCCGCGCATGTAATACTACCAATTTGCCAGTAAATCTCTCTTTCTAAGATTGAGAATATGGAAGAATAGTTCAACACGGGCTAATCTAGAAGCTAATCGTAATGGAGTTAAATTTAATACGTTTTTGATATGTAAACTGGCCCCGACTTCGTAAGCCATGTCAAAAGACTCCTAAAACAATCATATTAATAGTATTACTAGCAATAAATGCTAAAGAACACATTTCTTACGAGTTTTTCATAGATTACCAACAAATGTAAAACTGTGTTTCCATTTGTATCTTGTGCATTTGGATCCGCACCTCTTGATAACATGAGTCTGAAACATTCTTCTTGTCCTAGACACGCAGCGAATGTTAAAGGATATTCACCCCAATAGACATACCTACACATAATAAGTATATACAAAACAAAAATGGCGACTATTTTATAATATACCCATCATAATTAGTTTGTGGACACACATTAACCCATTCATGATCTAAGGCATCTGTTCTTGACGATTTTTGATCCTCCGGACACATAAAATTACCAAAACATCGCTCTTGAATATTCACACCAGATTGCAGAAGAAACTTTACCATTCCAGGATCCTCATTGACAATGGCAATGTGCAATACATTTTCACCGTAATATTCATCAGATATGTAAATGTCATTAATAAGTTTCGGATAAAACCGTAGTAAACGTTTAGCAATATCTGCATGGAGAGATGTGGCATTCAACAGACATAAATGAAGGATGGTTTCACCTACAGCTCCACGTTCCCGCAATTTCCAACAAGTATGGCGATATGCACTCGGATCTAATACAATAATAAACATAAATTATTGAATTTTAAATTAAATTATTGTGTTGCATACTTCTTTGATATTCTTCTTCGGTGACTTCTGGTCCTTCGTCGTCCACTTCATAATCGTCTGGGTTTTCCATGGATTTCAATGGTGGTAGATGTTTATATTTAGCTCGTTCTTTGTTTCTTAGAAGGACTAGATCCGCAATTGGTATATATCTACCTTTTCCTTTGTTGTACAGAAAAGGTTCAACCTAAGAATGATATAAAAGTGGCAACAAAAATATCATTGAAAGTAAGATATTTGTTTAAAACATACTTTTGTTTTAATTGCGTGATCAATCTCTGCATATTGCTTATTCTGTGTTGCTCTCTTCATAAGTTCTACTAATAATCCACCACCTAACAAAGAGAATGATTAATTAAAATCCAAAAGGTCCTGGTGTTTTGATACCTTTTAAATTCGCCAATTTATAAATTGGCTGAACAGATGCGCCTGCTTGTTTCTTCACACCGCTTGTCACGTTACTCTCAGTATTTCCCATGATTGATGATGTAATTTACAGAATAAACACAAAATTGACTACATTTTCCTGTTAGGTTTTGCAAAATTACTGCACTGTTACTCTACTACCCTAGTTTTATCATAGAAACGAAAACATAGTACAAATATTGATCAAACATGTCACACCAAAGTGAAACATTCTTCTTTCTTAGAAGTGCAATCGATCAAAAACGTGCAAATATCAAGTTGGTGTTAAGATGAAGTTAATATTTTATTGTCTTTTTGTGATTCAACAATTACAATCAATGATATTCATCATTCTCTCTCTCTTATCTCTGAGCGTAACATCGATTATCAACAAAAACTATTTAGCCACAATTCAAAAATCCTGCCGTTATTGCTTCCTCCACTCAATAAACTCATCTCGTATGGCACGTGCTACAAGTAATCTTAATCAAACATGTAGTTCATCATCCGCAATCAGTAAACAGTCAGTCCCTATTATTACGTAGTAGAAGATATGCACAAATATCTGTGTATGGCCAGTGCACTTTCCGTTCCCTTCTTCGTCTAGTTTAAGCATTATTACAACTTCATCTTGAACAATGATTAGCTATTGCACACTGAGGCAGTTTCTGCACTGCTTTATTCACATTGTTATTGCATTCAGGAACGTCACAATAATAAACGAACCGATGTGATATGTTACAACACCGTGGTTACAGGTAAACAGTTTGGACCCAGAAAGTAAACGAACTATTGTTGGGCGATACGTTAAATTTAAGTTTAGATTTTCACGTAGAAATGTTTCTTGCTTCGTTCTGCACTACCTCTACAACTACTCAGCTACTAACAGCGTTAATATATTCATCTTTCGTCTCGCTTAACAACTAAACTTTAAGCGCTTCCATTTAGATTTAATAGATACATTCAGATTGACTCGGAAACCAGTTCAATAAGTCATCAAAATATTGTTTTAAGTCGCAACTTTACAAGATGACATTCCTGGTAAGATGATCCAAAGTTTAGAGCTGTTGTATCCTAAATGATGAAAATGATGTAAAACACATAGAAAAATAGATACACAATATACACTACTCTTTGAAGGAATGTCAGTTTGCAAACGCGTGCGAATCGCTCAATAAACCTACCTACAATAAATGATCACATTTAGAAAACGACGCTCCGCAACTATACATACGTAATATGTACACATATAGAAATGTTTTAGAATAATGTTCGTCCATATAAAATATTGACTATCAACTTGCACGATCGGCTGTCATTTTATCATCAATTCAATTCAAGAAATGAATCATTGCTCTCAAGTAAAAATTGCCGCGCATCAGTGTCTCGACTTGCTCCTAAACAATTAAGTACTGCAACTTGATGAAATCTCTGGTATACATTGTAAAATACTGTTTGTTCTATGTCGGAGTGTCGGTAAGATCGTCCTGCAACCATTGTGGCACGTTATGCATCCCAATACGCTTCAATAACTTCAGCAGCGCGGTATTATGACTGAGATAATGTCTCTGCAGCAGTTTCAGTGACTTATCTTCCATTGGTGGATAATTTCGTCCTTTACTCTTGCCTAAACACTTAGTCCTGTCGCCTTTGACAACTTGACAGAAATATCCCTTCTTTTCTTCGTATCTGTAATATAATTTAGTTAAAATTATAAGTTTTTAAAGTTTAATATTAATGGTTACCTTATTAAATCAGTGTAATTTAACTGTGGTACAATTTTGAGAAATTTCTGCACTTCATCCATAACTTCAACCGGATTTGACTTCAAACTCTCGCCGTCAATGATGTGCAGCTGCTGCGGCGAGAAGTAATTCAACCATCGCTCTAAATGCTGTGCAAATTTGCCAGGATTAAGGCACCTGTTTCGCAGGTCGCGTAGCGGTTTCGGCGCAGTGTCGCCGGCGGTAATCACTTGGTGGAAGCTGTAGTTATTGGCAATGGTATCGCCGTGCGCTTTCGTGTGCTGATACCACGAATATGCGCGCTTCGCCGGCGAGATCAGTATCGTAATCAATTTGGTGTGCGGCAGCAGGGCGTGCACGCGTTTAGGCACTAAATCGCCATCGAAATACGTCGCGCTCTTCTCGAACAAATACCGCGTCGCATTTGCATCCACCGGGAAATACTTCATATACCAATCTAAACCTTTGTAGTAATTATTCGCGTTGAAGAACTGTATCTCCTCGAAGGTTGTCGGACTAGGGAGATTACTCGCAATCGACGGATGCAGGGATAAAAATGTGTATAATGCTGTTGTACCGGTTTTCTGCGGGCCAATGACGAGAAAACGTGGCAGTGAGTCGCAGGACTTGTTACGGGACCAAATCTTTTTGTGTCTCGCATCATCACAGGGATTCTAAACATGCATAATTATTAAATTTAATATTTTATGCAAATTATAATCACTTACGCCCCAGATGGGATCAGTTTCCTCCGGATATAGTTTGAAATACGTTTCCGCCAATTGCAGCGGCGGTGCTGATGTCAACTTAATATTCGTCCAGCACTGCAGAAATTTGATTACCGATTCGAACGTGTACAAGGCCAAGCGATCGTTGCCGTAGTTGGACATGTGTGTCATAAATATATTTATCTGCGTGGAATAATAAATCATTTAATTATTGGGAAGCCACCACAAAGCGATTGATAACTTACAGGATTGTAAACTATTGTCTGAAAGAGCTCGCCGCCTTGAATCGATTCGTCGAGTTTGACCCGACCACCCGGGTATCTATCAATGAACATTGTATGCGTGAACAAACCGCACGTTTGTCTTGGCAAACACATTACATTGCGGTGAATAAAACCTCGACGAAGTCTGAAATAATTAAATTTATTATTTATTTATGTTACTTTGATTGCATATGTTATACTTGCCTTGCTGGACGTAAGTGCGGATATTCTTCAGTGGATGTTACTCGAATATTCCACACCTTTTTCCATGCACTGTACAAAATTTCATGCACAGGATACACACCAGAGTGATGTGGTGACACAGAATATCCAGAATCCACAGGAATACCTTAAGTAACAACAAAATTAATCAAATTCTCTTGAAAATCGACAAAATTACCTTTTTCTTTGGCGAAATTTTTATTCAAAATCATATCTGCAATTAGCTGCGATTCATTTTCATAGAGATGCGGTTGCTGATGATTCCACATGTGACTGAACCACGAAAACTTGTCAATGTTTTCCAGTATGAGATCATCACCCTTATCCTCCTCAGCATCACCATGTTGATAATACTTTCCAGAGAAACCCAAATTAAACCGGAAACCCGGCACCATTGTCTGAATACGTTGCTGTGTGGCTAACATAGCACGCACATCATCCGGTTTAAGCCGTGTTCCCTTATCACCAACGAAGATATCATCCACATCGATGAGAAACTGTCGATCAAGCGATAAACTAAGCTGCCCATGACTAAGATAACTCAGCGAGTCAAGAAAAAGCAACCGGTGCAGCCAGAATTTCAACCCTGCGCCGAAAATAACACGTTGAATATCATCAAAACGACCGTGATCTTGCATGACAGTAGTTAACGGCATTTTGGATGAGTGATTCTGTTCGAAATCGTCCAATTTGTGCGCCAGTTCCAGCGGTTCATATGTATTGTGATGTGATTGGAATATCGTCCAATCATCGCCAGGCAGTGGGCCTTCGACCGTTTCGCCAGGACGCGTCAGTCTTAAGATTTGTGAAGCATCATTCAGTGTTGCATCCTAAAGAAACAAACAAAACTATAATTAGAAACCGAACAAAATTTACTAAATAACGCGAGTGTTCACCTTCAATTGTAAATTTGTATGAATAAACAGCGGAAATCCTTTCAGCTCAGCGCCGACAAACGTTTCTTCCTTCTGCGTGATGAAACCAATCACTCCCACATTATACTCCTTGCAATACTTATCGAGCAGCTCACGATTCCACTTATCCATTTGCAGGTACTTGTTGAAGTTTTCAAACACAATCACGCCGTATTTACCCTTATCTAGACTCGTCAACACTGGCAGACTCTTCCCAGCCACTTCCTCCTTATATTTTATCCTTGTATACACCAATAACTCAGCAATATCTTTACCAAGTTTCGAATACATTGTCTCTACAAAGAGCAACACTTTCGGATCGCTCCTTAATCGACCCTCCATTTTGTGTTCGTGATTTTGTGGAAATCGTGGACCATTTCCCACGTTGCACTTAACTATTGGAGTGGGTCTTGTACTTCTATGAAATCTAAAAATATAATATTCCATAAACAATGTAATCATAACTGTGAAATATTGAAAACTCACCCATATGTATGCCATGTGGTGCTTGAATGATTTAAATAATAGTAGTTATATACAATAATCAGGCAACAGAGAATAATAACTAATAGAATACACGTTTTCTGTGAGGTGAGTCGAGCCGGGAAGAATCTCCATCTGGTCATGTTCTTCAGCAGTCGAGATAAGATGTTGGATTTCTGCCGACTGTTCGGGCGTAAAATCGGCGTACGCATTTCGTCCATATCATATATTCTATGGCACTGATTGTTTATCTAAATATATTCACATGTTAATCAACCTCCACTTGCTGTGTTTCCACAAGTTGCTTGCCATGCACAAAATCATTCAGATCGACTCTGCAGCGATTGCATTTTCTAATCATTTTTTCATCATGTTAAATTTGCAGCATGTTTGATCTGGAAAGTAAACATATTGATAACGGTTGTCATTGTATCAATAAATTAAATTTGCTCTAAATGATGAAATTTCTCGCTACCGTATTTTATGATTTATAGACGAGTAATTCAGAGAGTATTCATTTGTTAATTGGTGATTAGTCTTGTAACGACACTCAGTTTGTCAACAAACATTGAAATTAATGTGTGCATTGTTTTATGTATGCTAACATAAGAGTAGTTTACTAGTTTAGCAGTTATTAAATATTTATTTGGTAGTACCTGATTGCTGCTGGTTTTTTCTATGTGCTTGGTTGCATGGTTTGTGTTTACGCCGTTGGGAGAGTAACCATGTTCACTTTCCAGCGCGCACCATCACCAGCTCTCGCTCCACAACTACGCGGGTATTGAATTATTAATTTATCTCACCAAATTCTTGGCTGTCATACGTCATTCGGACAGTAGAGGAGTGGACCATGTTGAACAGCTTAAAACAAGGAGAGAAATACATTCATAACAGCAGTGGATGTTGAAGAGACAGAGAAGAAGATTACTCACACAGCTGTACGTACTTATTAATATCACTAACTGTGTGTTATGTTGGTTGCCTAACATCTATGTATCTGCTGTATTTGAAGTGTGTTGTTCGATGATCTGTAATAGTTTATGCAGTTATATTAAATACAAGTTATTTAACTTATAATGAAGTAATTTTATTACTAAAATAATATATTATCAGTAAAATTAAGCAAAATTCACTGTTTATACCCATGTGAGAGGGTCCTTGTCAGAACTTTGCCACCATCTTAATAGATTTTGAAAATAAAAATTCGAAACTTATTCCTGAAATAATTAAAATAAATAATTAAGATGGTGCCCACCCCCGCGACGTGGACGCGTCTGACAAGAATTACCCAGGTGGAGTGTTTGCAATGACAATCCCCTGGGCCGGGTTAATGTTACCTCGAGTATTACCTAAATAAAAATAAAAAAAAAAAGAAAATAATAAAACACAACAAAAAATAAACGAGGTAACAATGGCAACTACAACTAACTACTTGTGCAACTACTTCTACTACTACTACTACTACTACTTCAACTACTACTACTACTAAATACTAATACGCAGCGTTTTAACGAGCTGTTGAGGTGCCCCTGATCACCATCAAAGGCAGTTGCCCCTACCCTCGAGGGTAATCTGGAGCTCGCGGAGGACAGGCAACCCGATTGTCCTTTATTTCGGATTCGCGATAATTAAACGAAATGTTGAGTTGTGCTGCAGATGGCATGTTGCTTCCTTTAATAGTAAACATAGATTAGATTAGTGAAAAATAAAATTAGCTTGTAATCGAGAAATGAACCCTTGCCGCATCTGTAAATATCAATAGAAGAATAAAATTAATAATGTGGAAGACAAAAATTCATTAAAATCACATTTACCTTCATTTTCTTGGAACTGTACACACCCCCGGAGGCAGTGGCCCATTCCTTGATGGGTATACACATCAGGCCGACCCCCAGAGGCTTTTCCTGGTCGAATAGTTGGCTGCAACAGGTCCCCTACTCAGGATCGACAGCGGAGTTGATGGAACCGCATCACATCGATCTCTTCTTCTTCGTCTTCAGCTGAGTTAACATAAAATATAAATATGGTATAATAAAAAATAAGTACCAAATATAAAAAGTCTTGTAGTAAAAAATGATTGTAATAAACTCACCTCGGTTTCTTTCCAGTTTACATACCCTGAAGGGGCTGGTAGCCCTTTTCCTTGATGGGTATACACATCGGGCCTGATCTAAGGCGGAAAGATGGCGGGGTTAGGACTAGGATGGACATCGGCATTGTGGAACTGCATCCCGCATCGGCTTCTTCTTCACTTCGTCTTCAGCTGAGATAAACATTAATGAATAAATCAAATAAAATCTTGTAATAAAAAGTTGACTGTAATAAAACTCACCTCAGTTTCTTTCAGTTTTGCATACCCCTGAGGGCAGTAGCCCACTCCTTGATGGGTAGCACATCAGGCCCTGATCCCCAAAGGCGGAAGATAGCTGAGCCGAGACCTTCAGGATCGAGCATCAGCGTGGACGGATAACATCTTCTTCTTCGGCTTCTGTTAATAGTAAAATATATAACATACAATTAAATATTATTTTGACCGTAAATGAATTTATGTGGTGCTAACTCACCTGCTTCTTTTGAAATGTGCGTATATCAATGGGAGCCTTACTCATCTCATCTTATTTGGATGGAAAGAATCTTCTTGTTTCATTCAAAGGCAAGAAACGCAACAACGTGCAACATGACTATTTCAAACAGTGACTTTCGTGCAATCGGTGCAAACTGTTGATCTGTAAAGATATTATTAAATATTTCACGACACTCCCGCACTCGCACTATCACTTGTATAAAGCGGCCCACTTTAATATACTTCAACACTCGCGCACTATTAATAATTCACAACACTTCACTTTAAGTTGATATCAGCATTTAACCGTTCCATTTTTATTTTGTTCTCTTTCGGGATGTAGGTGTCAATTCCATTTATTTTTAGTTGAGGTTGATATTTTCTAAGTTTTCAATTTCTGTTATTCTTCTTCCTGGGGTTCTTCTGTCTTCTGTTATTCTAAATAGTTGTTGATTATTTAAAACAGTATACTTCACCTCCCGCACTATTTGTCACACTCGCGCACTATATAAAACACACAAACACAATTATTTATAACGAAGTTGTAATTCATATCCAATTCCCATTTGATTCAATTTTTCCATTTTTCTCGTTGTATCTAACTAGAAGTTCATTCTTTAGTTGTTACAGTTAAGTCAGGATCTATTTTACCTTCGACTGCTTATGATTCCTCGTTCCTCGTTCGTAATAATCTTCATACATCTTTGGGACAATCCCTTTCTTCTTGGTTTCTTCGTGTCTTATTATAAATGATGCAATTTGAAGTTGGCTGCTTGGAAATGTTTTCTCCAGAAAATAAAATCTAATTCAATCTTTGGGTATCATTCTTCATTTTATTCTGTTCCGATTACTGCTGCTGCTACTACTAATGTTGTATTGTTTTAATTTATGTTACGAGTATTTATGATGACGTAAAAAATTGCGTAGGTGTAGTTGTGTTAAAAATGTTAGGTAAGCTGTGCCGAAGCACAGCAATACCACAGAGCCCAGTCAATGATCATGAACAGGGTAGAAAGTGTAAGTGTATGTGTGTGTGTATGTAAGTGGAAAAACTGATGAAATTCGATTTTCACTCCCGCACTATAATTCAACACTCGCGCACTATATAATCACACTCGCGCACTATATAAAAACACACAAACACAATTATTAATCACAGTTGTAATTCATATCCAATTCCAATTTGATTCAATTTTTCCATTTTTCTCGTTGTATCTAACTTGAAGTTCATTCTTTAGTTGTTACAGTTAAGTCAGGATCTATTTTATCTTCGACTTCTTATGATTTCTCGTTCCTCGTTCGGAATAATCTTCATGCATCTTTGGGACAATTCTCTTTCTTCTTGGTTTCTTCGTGTCTTATTATAAATGATGCAGTTTGAAGTTGGCTGCTTGCAAATGTTTTTCCCCAGAAAATAAAATCTAATTCAATCTTTGGCTATTATTCTTCATTTTATTCTGTTCCGATTGTTGCTGACCCAATGTTGTATTGTTGTAATTTATGTTATTTATGATGATGTAAAAAATGTGTAAGTGTAGTTGTGTTAAAATGTTAGGTAAACGTATGAAGTACAGCAATATGGAAACCCAGTCAATGATCTCTCATGAACAGGGTAGATAGTGTAGTGTATGTGTGTGTATATAAATTGGAAAAACTGATGAAATTCGATTTACTCCCGCACTCCCACACTATAATTCAACACTCGCGAACTATATAAATACACTCGCGCACTATATAAAACACACAAACACAATTATTTATCACAGTTGTAATTCATATCCAATTCAATTTTATTCAATTTGCCATTTTCTCGTTGTATCTAACTTGGGGGTAATTATTTAGTTGTTTTTGTCATTTTATCTTCGACTTCGTTCTTCATTTGGAATAATTCAGTTCATGTATTTCCATTTTTCTTAATAGAAATCTACATTACATCTGGGGAAAATTTTCCATCTGATTGGTTTTCTTCGTGTTTTATTATAAATGATGCAATTTGAAGTTGTACTGGCAAATATTTTCTCAGAAAATAAATCTAATTCAATCTTTTCGTATCATTCTTAATTTTATTCAGTTCTTATTGTTGCTGACCCAATGTTGTATTGTTTTTAATTTATGTTATTTATGATGATGTAAAATGTGTAGGTGTAGTTGTGTTAAAATGTTAGGTAAGCTGTGCTGGCTTACAGCAATACCGGAAACCCAGTCAATGATCATGAACAGGGTAGAAAGTGTAAGTGTATGTGTGTGTGTGTGAAATTGTTGACCGAATAACTCTAAGTATTTCAATACAAAGTTGAAATAAAGTTCAGTTGAAATTAAAGCAGATTTTTGTTTGTCCGATATAAACGAATACAAGTTTCCAATTGATACTGACTTGTTCTTGTTTGCCGTCCATTTTAAAAGAATTTTCGACGATTTTCTCATTTCTACCATCAATTTAACTACCACCCATTTAAGATCTTCTTCTTTTGGTATATTGCAGAAATCTTTCCCCATCATATCAGAATCCGTTTCTTGAATTATCTTCTTTATCCATGGATGAATAATGATGGATTGACATTGCAGCAACAAAGCATTCAGCTTTTCGAGTTTTTAATAAGACACAAGGACTAGTAATAAATGATTATTAATACACTGATATTAATGATTCTACCAGTTCAGCAAGCACTTCGAATACCTGTATCAAACAAACAAGCAAACAAAGTTGTGATTAGTAAATTTCAAGAATAGAACACAAAACAACACAGAACATCCACAATGGCCTAGCATCAGGATCCTGCAACATAAATTAAAATACTGATTATCAGATTCAAACAAAACGCCCTGAAAGGAAACATAGAAAGAAATATTTAATTAGTTGCTGAAAGAAAAACATAATTCATTAGTAAGGATTGTTTGGATTTTGGAACTCATTCACACACACAATACAAATACATAATATAAATAATAGCAATAAAAACATACAAAAATAAACAAATATGTCACCTAAAAAGAGAAACATATTAGATTAGTACATACATATATAAATTTGTATACAGAAAAAAGACATTAATCAGGATAGAAGGACCTAAAACCCTGCCTAATGACAACCAATAGCTAAATCGCGATTATCCTGAAAGCGGAAAAAGATTAGTACACAAATTTCTAAACAGTATTCATCATTCACACAGCTAAGAGGAGGTAGGATACTTATAACTATTTTAATAAGACTGCTGCCTTTGTCCCTGCCTAAGTACATGAGATAGCTTTGAGCACAAACCGATTATAATAAAAAAAATAGGCGCACCTAACATGACCGCGACGCGTTTGGCGGTGTGCTCGATGTGCAAAACTGATTTTTGCAACGGATAACAAAAGTGACCGACTGCTGCATCCCAGCGGCAGCAACCGGCTTTTAGTTGCCCAAAATTTAACACGACATACACAAATGAGAGTGATACAATACAGTACAACACAAATCATACCAAAAAGAAATATAAACAATTCATTCAACAGGCATGCATTAATTCATACTTATATTGCAAGCATTTGAAATCTCTACTTCAAAATGCCGCGCGCGTTGCATTAATTAATTTGTGTTAATTTGTGGTGTTCTGCGTGAGACAGAACGTGTAAAGTGTTGTGTTGAGAATGTGGGTAAATAAGTGTACCTAGACACACCAAATACTGCAGGAACTCACGCATTCACGCCGAAACGAACCGAGCAAAAGTGCCAATGTAGTGTTTGTAGTGTGTGTGTGTGTATGTGTGTGTTGACCGATTGATTCTATGTACGTTAATACGAGTTCGGTGAAATTTAAGCAAAGGATTTTTAATAAAATGTTCACG